ATGATGGAGGCATATGATTAGTCCACGCGCAAATATTGATTGTCCCGAAATGTTCTATCCACTAGTCAACCCCTTTGAGCCTTGTGACTTTTGGGTCGTTCTCATGTTAGGCGATTTTTGCTTGCGACTAGGGCTGGTAAACGGTCGGTAACCGGTTAAATCGGTTACCATCGGACCGGTTACTGGTATGTCAGACATCATCACCCCGCTGCCGTTTACCAATACCAAAATAAATTCGGTAAACCGTTACCGGAATGGGACAGTACTGGTATTGTGTCGGTTACCCGTTTTCCCGCAAAGTGGCGAGGATGAACTTTGTCCGCTCGCCCAATCTGCTTCATTTGTCAGCCAATTAATTCTGCACCAGAAGGTTGTGAGTCTGTGACGGTGTACAAGAAGGGTGGGGAGGGGACTGGGGATTTTCTACTCCATTAGACCATTACCATTATCTTTGTGTAGAGTGAGAGTCAATTGGTGGTTTGTGCTTAGGTGGTGAAAGGCTGAAAGCTTTCTTTCTTGCTATTCCATGCCTCCATTAATCAATTAATATGTCAATTTGGCCGTTTGTGGCTCCATTAATTCCATTGTTCGGTTGCTCCTCTGCTCGGCAATAACATACACAACCACGCTACAAAAGCCAAAAGCAAACCACAAGTCACAATAGAGACACAGCTGCTCTGCTCGGCTTGGGGATAACAATTAACACCAAAACACGTACAATGAATCAATTAACAAATTACAAATCAAATTTCATTACCTGCAAAATATGGAGAGGACGAACTGAATTGCTGGGTCGAGCGATTAAGCTCTGGCGGCGATGGTGGTCTACGGAAACGGGGTCGACGGGGGTTGACGGGAACAGATCCCGACAGAAACGGATCCCGAAGTACCGTACTGGGCTGCTTTGTGGCTCGAACGTGCTCCGGCGACGGAGAGGAAAAAAATGCTGCAGTTTTCGGTCGGCCGACGTTCAGGTAGGGAGCGATGCAAATAGATTAAAAGACTATCAACTAATTAGAAGGACCTAGGTTAATTACTTCGGTGGGGATGCTTAGGGCATTGGGCGACATTTGCTCGGCTATTCGGTATCGGGTTACCGAAGTTCCGACAGTAAATTATAGAAGCCATCTCAGTATACCGTTCTCCCATTCCCACATCTGAATACTGTTACATACGGTTAACGGTTTAACTGGTAACCGCGGTTACCAGTACGGTTACTGGTTAAACCATTAATCGCAATACCGTTTACCAGCCCTACTTGTGAGCTTAATTGTGTTTGATAGAATGATCCCCATCCTTTCTTTGGTACTATACGCGAGTCGTGATTGTGTCTCGGAGCTCTCGCTTTTGAGTTCCATTGAGATTCTACATAGGAGGATTGTGTGCGGTTCTTGCTAGGAATGAAAGAGAACAGAGTAGTGTTGGAGTAAGTTCTTAAAAGAGAGCATTAGTTGTTAAATGTCATGTGGCAAGTGTTTTACTCTCTAGTATCCCCCTTATAAAGAAAAAAAAAGATAAAAGAAGAAAGAAAAGGAAAGTAGAAGGAAAAAAGAATTGAAAAAGAGGTAATAAAACGGGGTAAATAAAGTTCAGAGTACCACAAAATTCAAAGAGTATGCTCTACGAGGGGTTTCTTGGCACTCAAGACATTGAAACCCCCACATTGTTGTTGAACTCCTTCACTACCATATCAAAATGTGATAGCAAGTGTAGACCGAGGAAGATCACTTAAATGTAGTTCATTATGGGTGATAGTTTGTAAAGGAAAAGTAAGGTTTTTGGCCGATGCTAGTGGCCATTGTTTCTAGGGAAGGTTCTTAGTCGAAACCATAGAACCTTCGGGTTTAGGGTGAAGATGTAGTATCTCATGTTGTGCTTTCCATCACCCAAAAGGCCTTTTTCCCCATGTCCATGACAATTGCGTGTCATTTGAACCCGTGTCTAAGACCTCCAAACAAGCTAGTGATGACAACCATCCCGTAAACTCTAGCATTTAGAGGTTGCCGCCATGGTGAAGAGATGATAGGGCAGAGTGTTGATGATTGTGCAGATTCTTTCCAACAAAAGGTCCTGACCCCACTGGTCAAGAGAGTGAGTGATTCATTCTTGTTTTGCATGTTCCTTGGACTATGTTATGCATGATAAGTGATCTTGTTGAGACTTGCATTGATTCATGAACAAGGTGAGAACTTTTCGTTTGCCCATTTTTTGGTGACCTTGAATGTCGTTTTTGGTGGATGCCGGTATTTCTTGCAACAGTCCATGTGTTAATTGCCAATAGCCATTGAGATTTGTTACTTTGTGCCCTTTTATTTGTCCCCAAGTTATTTTGTTAGGTTGAGATATTACCTTGTGTGAAATTGTTCGCTTGGGGAGAAACCAAACACCTAAGTGTGGGGAGTGATTTGGGCCTAAATGTACACTTTTTATACCAGTTTCTCTTTGACGTTTGTGGCATTTGAGATACTAAAAGGGTGATTTTACACTAGGTTTCTTGTGTTTCAATGTGTTTCAGAGTCTAACAGGTGAAACCAACCCCATAGTTGAAAGTTGGAAGAAAAGGTGCAACGACCGTGCAAAGAGGAGGATTCAGCCACAGTTTGCGGTCAAACATTGGAGTTCACGGTTTCCAGGACTGTGAACTGGAACCACAAACCATGAACCACAAAGCGTCTAGAGGGGTTTTAGAGGTTACTGACTCCAAAGCAGTTCACGGTCGCTAAGACCGTGAATGCATTAAGTGAAACTGCGCGTTTTGATATGTGTTCGCGATCTGAATTTAAATAGTGAGCTGAAAGGAAGAAGAAGGGAGAGCCCAAAGTGAGAGAAACCTTCTTGTTCTTGAAACCCTAGAGAGAGAAAGCACGAACCAAGAGGGAGAAGAGGCTAGGGTTTGATCCAAGTGAAGATTTTGGAAGTTTCTCTTCAAGAGAGGATCTCTACAAGCACAAGGATAGTTCAAGGCAGCACAATGATTGTTTCTTTCTCCGTCCTTTGTGTTCTTCCTTTGTCTAGAATGGAGTAGTTCCCCTTTTCGCTTGGGTGTTGTAGAATCCTAACTTCTATCATGTAACTGATTGTGTGGATTGAATGATTGGGTGATGGTGGTGTTTAATTTAAGAATTGAAGTATTTTCCATGGTGATTGTGCATTGTGTGTGCTTGGCAATCTATTGTGCTATTCTAAACTAGCTTAGAGAGAAGACCCCATATCTTTAGAGGCTCAAATTGAGTTGGGGTTCTTAGGCATTCCATGCCTCCTAACTAGGTTAATGAAGGGCAAACCTATACTTGAATTAGACACCTAGGTTAATTGTGATTATGACGTTCAAACCTTGGTTTGAGGGTGAAGGTAAGGCGACCCCCGATTTCTTGAGCCAAGAGGGCTACAATTGAGCCTCTAATGCTTTCCTTGGCCTAACAATTGAGGGGATTGTTTCTAACCATCGTTGCACCTCCTACGGGTCACAATTTCCTTGTCACACACTGAGTCATTTGATCCCACGGTTCATGGTAGTTAGTTAGGGGGAAGAAACTCCCGAGTGAAGCTTCTCACCAAGAGTTTTCCACCCTTTTACTTTTCTAGTCTTGCTTTTAAATAGTAGATTGTAGAGATTTCATCAAACAACATTCTGCTAGATAATGTTTCAAACAATTGAAGTGGGGGTACATTGGCCAGCCCGGGTTGATATGTAAACATACTTGCCCTATATTGCATCCATCTAAGGTTTATACTTGGGCCTTAGGTGGGATTTTATTGTGATATACGGAGCGAGTCACCTATCTTATGGTATAAGTCAGAAGCTAGGAAATTGTTAGATTCATTATGTGTGATGGTTTCTAAACAGTTTTCAAAGCAAGTTAAGGTCATTCGTAGTGATCAAGGGAATTAATTTCATATGGTTGATTTTTATGCATCCCAAGGGATTGAACACCAATTGTCCTGTGTTGAAACCCGTGAACAAAATGTAGGATTGAGAGGAAGCACCAACACATTTTAAATGTAGCTCGATCACTCATATTCCAATTAGGAGTTCCCTCCAATTCCTGAGTGATTGTGTCCTACATGTTGTGTATCTCATCAATCGTATTCCTACTTCTACTCTTGGGAATAAATCACCTTATGAATCTCTATATCACAAACCACCTAGTCTATCTGGTCTAAGGACTTTTGGTTGTTTATGCTATGTTGTCACTCTACATCGAGACAGAACTAAGTTTGATAGTAGAGCTCGACAATGTATCTTTCTTGGCTTCCATTCTGGCATCAAAGGCTTTAAACTCTATGAAAAAACTCTCATTCCTTCTTTGTCTCACGTGATGTCCCTTTCTATGAGTCCATATTCCCCTTTCACACTTCTTCTATTACTTCCCAACCTACTACTCTCATTTCAGATCCCATTTCTCCAATTTTACCCCCTCTTCCAAATCCTCTTCCTTATTCTACCATTCCCTCTTCTTCTTCTCTGAATGCCCTCAGTTCCTCTTCTTCACCTTTACCTTCACCCAAGTCTACTCGCACTGTTCCAACTCTTGAGGTTCCTCGGTTGCATTCCGAAGGGGAGGATATTGAGATAGACATTTTCCCTGATGAAAATGACACTGATGAGGCAGCATACATCAGAAAATCTGATAGGACTCGTACTGTACCATTATGGCACAAAGACTATCATGTCAATATAGCTGGTTCTTGCTCAAAACATCATGTCTAACGACTGACAACATTTCTCCTATGAACAATTAACTCCTTCTCAAAGGTCTTTTTCCATGAATATCATGATGAATGAAGAACGTACTTCCAATGTTGAAGCTTGCAAAGATCCTAGCAGGTCAAGCATGTAATGAAGAATTGGCAACATTGGAAGAAAATCAGACTTGGGAAGTTGTGAAATTTCCTAAAGGTAAGAAGGTTGTAGGATCCGAATGGGGTTTTAAGATCAAACACAAATGTGATGGGACTATTGAAAGGTTTATATCCAGAGTAGTGGCTAAGGGGTTTACTTAAATTTATAGTATTGATTTTCTGGATACTTACTCACCAGTGGCCAAGATTAACTTGGTTAAGACTTTGTTAGTTGTGGCTGCTTCTAAGGATTCGTATTTCCACCAGATGGATGTGTCCAATGCATTTCTCCATGAAGATTTAGAGGACGAAGTTTATCTGGAGATTCCTCATGGTGCCAATGTTCCTAGAGATTAGGGTCTTGTCTATAGACTTAAGAAGTATTTATATGGGCTTAAACAAGCCAACAGGCAATGGTTTTCCAAACTGACTAGTGCCTTAATGAAGCATGGATACTCTCAGACCTCTTCAGACTATTTTATGTTTGTTAGGTGGATTCAAGGCAGGGTAGTTGTTGTTTTGGTGTATGTTGATGACATACTAATTACAGGCAACTATATCGGAGATATTGAGCAACTGAAGTTGTTCTTGGGCAAGGATTTCAAGGTCAATGATCTTGGAAAAATGATTTACTTCCTAGGCCTGGAGGTACTGAGAGATCATAAGGGTATTTCTTTGAGCTGGAAGAAATATTGTTTGGAACTTATAACTTACACATGATACCTTGAAACCAAAGGTTGCCTTTCTCCTGTAGATTGTGATGTAAAGCTGTCAGTAGCTCAAGGGGAGGCTTTGCCAGACCCTACTGTCTACAGAAAATTGATTGGTAGATTCCACTATCTCACCATTACAAGGCCTGAAATCACCTCAAGCTGTCAGGTTTTTGTGATGCAAATTGGGCAAGTTTCCTTGACTCCAGGAGGTCTTTAACTGGGTATTGTACATTTCTGGGTACATCATTGATCACCTGCAAAACAAAGAAACAAACTATTGTGTCTCGTTCATCCTCTGAGGCAGAGTATAGGGCCCTAGCATGGGTGGTTTGTGGAGTGCAGTGGCCCAGAAACTTGTTGTTGGAGATGGGTGTTCAGGTACCTCTTCCAATCCCCTTATTCTGTGATAACAGATCAGCTTTACACATGGAGGAGAATCTTGTTTTCCATGAAAGGACCAAGCACATTGAGATCGATTATCCCGTTACAAGGGAGAGGTTGAAGTCTGGATTGATTAAGCTAAGTCATGTGAGGAGTGATGTTCATATCGCAAACATTTTCACAAAGGGGGTAACTCGTTCGAAAGAGGTTTCTACTTGACATGATGGGAGTTTTCAATGCATACTCGCCAGCTTGCGGGGGCGTATCGATCAAGAAAGATGAAGAATGAATCAGCAGGTCTCGCTCGAGGAAGAATTGCATAAGGAAAGTTGTAGGTTCATTGATATGAATAAAGAAGAAGAGAAACGACATGTATAAACGAAATGTTTCTGCCTTCCCCTCGATCTGACTTAGGCGAAGATCAAAGCGACATCATGGTGATCCTCTCCTACCGTTGGATGGAATGAAGACGACCAATAGAATGAAGACACCTGGCTTTCCTGTATTTATTTTTATTTGAAATTTTGGTTTAATAGACAATTCCGATTTTACTGTTTATGTAACTTTGGGGTCGTTTGCTTCAAGGATTGTAAAATGAGGGTTTTCACTTAAACGTGGGATTTAAAAACCTAAGGTTTTATTTGGGATTTGGGGCATTTTGGATTTGGAAAAATCCTTTGTTTGTTTCTTCATTTTGATCATGGATTTAATAATTTGGGATTTAGAAATAAAGAATTGCATTTACCTTATTGCCCTTTTTTAACCCATTAAAGGAAGGGGTTGCCATTGCTATGCGTGCATCTTCCAAAGCTGCTCTCAGCTCATTTGCTCTCCAATGAGGTCCAAACCGACCAAGAGGAAGGTCACACCTTGGAACAGAAGGAAGTAGAAATGGACTCCTTGAGCAGACAACAAGCTCCTGACTGAAGCTGTGAGCAATAGGAATGCTAGAGCCAACTCCTTCCTGTATATTTTGTTCACCTTCTTCTTCGGTTTCGACACTGATTCTGCCTTCTCCTGCAGTAAACTCAACTGCCCAATCTCACTTTCTGAAGCTCCTCTGTGTAACTGAGGCTGAATCATTGAGGGCTTCGATTCCCTCTTAGCAGCAGCCAGTAGGTCTGATTCTGATGACCTGCCAGCCTTTTTCGTAACGACCCATTCATAAGAGCTTCCCAACTGGAATAACCCGGAGACCATCACGTTGAACTTGGTGACAGACATTGTGTTTTCGAAAACGAGTCAGCAAATTTTCATCCTTGCAACGAACTCATAATCCTTGACATATTCACAGCCCATTGCTGAATTGAGGTTTCCAGCTTTGTAACCAGTTCTAAGAAGCCTATGCCTATAGATAATGTTGACCCCCTTTTGTCTCCATTTATCAACCTCTCCTTTAATTAACCACTGGATGTCCACATCATCCGAATCGTCAAGAACTTGGATCAAGATCCTGTATTTCGGCCAATCAAGCTGGCAAACCGCAAAGATTGACTGATCATACACCTGCCGACAATCCAATATCCATCAGCAGAGTAGTTTCCACAATATCCATTGTAAGAACTAAACATTTCCCATCCAAAAATGAAGCCACATGAGAACAATGCAAAATGCAGGACTCACAGAAAGCTAAAAAAACCAGTACAAGAAATTAATGGGTGAAGTTCGCCGAGCTGGATTCTGCACTTTTCCGAGCGGGTGAGTCTTCTTCCGCAGCTTCTCTGTTTGAGGGGAATAGAACAACACTGTGGGGAATAGAATGATAGATAGGGTTAAGGGATAGAGAGGGTATTTTTGGTTTAATGAAAAATAATGGGGATATGAGTGTCATTTTCGCTCTTGGTTTTTCATCAGCTAGCCAAATCCCTAATAAGCATGTGGGATTTGTGGAAAAAAAACCCAAATTCGTGGGCCCCACGGATTTATTTCAACAAAATTGGATGAAGCAAACAACGGATTGTACCTAAATCGTTGATAGTTGGTTTTTTGGTACCAAATCCATGTACCAAATCCTTGAAGCAAACGACCCCTTTACCTTCTATGAAGTATAAATACAAAGCAGAGAAGGGAATATGCTCCTTGCGGGTTTCCATTCCACACCGCCTCTCTTCTTCATTTCTCAAACCCTAAGCTTTGAAGAGCTTTTTCTATAGGATCGCTTAAATTCGCGGCGAACACCTGCCATTGCCCAGAATCAGAATCCAAGCTTCCATTATTCAATTCAATGTTTGAGGGAGCTTTCTCCAGCAGAGAATCAAACTTGTCGTTCAATTCTAAGCCTTGATGGTTCCTGGGACGCGACAAATCATCATCTGAATTTTTCCTGCCGTCATCGGAAGTCAAATTTCGTGTGCACAGAACATCCAAATTGAAATTAGGGATTCCGAATTCAGGCCGCTTTGAACTGGTTGTTGCGATGGTACACCTTCCATGATCACCCAATAACTGATTCCCAATATTAGTTTGGCTCGATTCGTGCTCATTCTTTCTTATGAGATTCCCGTTTTCGGAGTCGAACCGGGTCTTGCTGTTGCCGACCGATTTGAGGTGTCAGCTGTGTTGGGAATCTCTCTTTGACCTTCAAGCAACTTTCTAGATGCATTAGCGGCCCTCAGCTTAGACTCCAGCTATATGTTGGCTGCTTCAGGACCCAGACTCTGGTTTTTCGAAAGAAAACAGAGGTCTAGAACACCGATGTTGTTTGCATCAATAACCTCACAGTTTGGCAGTGCAGACCTTATTGAAGCATCCAGGGTTGCTTCTTCTCCATTGAAGATCAATCCCATGGCAGAAGTCGTTGGGTTTTGAACGTCCAATCGATCCTTTGGTCGAGACAAATTGGTAAGCATCAGGGAGTGCTTTTGTTCAGAACTACGCAGCAAACGATCTCTTGAACGATAAATGATGGATAGGTAGAATTTTGCCGCAATCAAGGTGTTTACTTGATTGATAAGAAAACTTGTTAACCGATTCTTGAATCCTCACATAAAAGCTTGACAAGGGTTCTCGAATTAGCAATAGAATTCCTCACACAATTAACTCAAGGATTTGGTTCTTGAGAACACTCTCATAGAACACAACTCTGCCGAGTAATTTTTATTCAACTAAACTTGATTCTTTACAACTTAAATAGAAAGGTATATAAAGGCAAAGAAACCTAATAAAAACCTAATGGAACTAGGAAACAAATAAGGTAAAAAAAAACTATAAAATGGTGACAATTTTCGGACCCAAACTCTCTTTCTTAAAGCATAAGTAAACTGCCTTTTGGCACAAGCAAACTGCCAGAAAAACAGTTTTCGTACTAACTTCGTGCCTCGCGTTCGAGACCTTCCAGAACTCCAATCCTTCATCCAATTCCTTCCCTTTGTATAAAAACATACCTAGTTTCATGTTGTGGAAGCCTTTGGACTCGAATTAGATCTATGCTCCTCGAATTGAGCTCCAAAGTAGGCTTCACAAACTAATTTTCTGCCTTAAGCCATTTTCAGGCAGTTTCCAGCTTTCCATATGGCAACTTTGGACGTCTGGAAAATGATCTTAATGGCTTCTTCTGGATCCAAAAACAATGGCATCTTATAGAGGGCACTTTATCTTCAAAACAAGCTCTTAATCTTGAATTTTTCATTGAGCCAATTGTGAGAACCAAGCCTCCAAAGTAGGCCACCTGAAACTGTTAAAACACTTTATCGTTCAATTGCGATTGCTTCTTCGCCAAGCAATAAAAACATATAAAGTTGGCCATTTGGGATCATATCACAACTTTTTAATTTCCCATCATATCTTCTTCGAATTGGGTCATCTTCGTCGAATAAAAAATATCCTCTGTTTTGCGACGAACTCTGTTTGTACCAAACAACAGGTTCTTCTTCTTCGCCCTTGTGTAGAACCGCACTCTAATACCACTGAATACGACCCTGGGGGATGTATGTTATCAAAGTAATGCATCAAACAATCAATCCGAAGATTGATTGTACTCGAATCAAGAACAACACATTCTTAATACAAAATTGGATAAGACATAACCACTGGACAATTCCACACTCGGGGAAAGCTCGTATGGTATAAAAAGGTAGTTGCTCAATCACAATTGAAGGGACTATTCAATCGATACACAAGCTCAGCAAGTTTGGAATCCACCAAACCCAACAAGTTCGCAAACTCGCGCAAAACCGAAGTTTCAATTTCAATTCAACAAAGTTTGACGATTACAAGGTAAAAACGAGTTTAAATAGACCTAAGCTACGTCTAACAACTATCAAGGAATTCTAAATACAAGTTAACTCGAAATGGAATCAAATATAACAATCCTAGTCAAATAAGGAAAGAAAATCATGTTTTTTACATAGCCAGATTTTCATGACTTTGTACTAACTTTGAGCCTTTTGTTCAAAGCCTTCCAGTTATCCAATTCTTCATCCAATGCCTTTTCGTAGTAGATTAACATATTTACTTCCATCTAGTATGAAGCTCCTAACTCGACTCTCAACCATGCTTCTTGAATTGAGCTCCCAATAGGCTTCACGAACACGCTTTCTGCCTTGACCAAATTATGGCAGTTTTTCAGCTTTCTAAATAGCAACTTTGGACATATGGAAAATGACCTTGTGGAATTTCTCTCGGTCTACCAAGCATACCATCGTGTAGATAAATTTCTTATCTTCAAAACAAGCTATCAAACTCGAATTTTCATCGAGCCAATTGAGAGAATCGATCCTCCAAAGTCGGCTACCTGAAACATGAAAAATACTTGGACAAGAATTAGTGTTCTTCAGGCAGCTTGAGCTTGCTTCTTTGTTAAGTAATTTGTACTTGTAGAGTGGCCTATTTTGGATCATATAACTCCTGCTCGTGGACTAGCTAACACACTTAGTGTTAGTAAACCACGTAAATTGTGTGTCGTGTGCTTTCTATTTTTCGTTTTCTTGCTTTGTCAAATCCTCCAATATCTCGATCCGCAGAAAAGACTCGTCACAAGTGGTATCAGAGCCGCGACTGGAAAACAGGCTTGAGTTTCGATTCTGAAGAATGACGTCAGTAAACATGAAGATTGAGAAGTTCACGGGGAAGAACAAATTCGCTATATGGCAGATCATGATGTTGGCTTTATTGAAACAAGAAGAGATGTGGGGACCGCTGTCTGCGAAATCGAATGGCAGCGGTCGATGACGATGAGTGGAATACCCTATAGGAGAAGGCCCACTCGACCATCATGCTATCATTGTGTGATGATGTCATCACAGAAGTTGCTGCTGAGAAGACTGTTGCGGGCTTGTGGTTAAAGCCGGAGAGTCTATATATGACAAAGTCTTTAACCAACAAGCTGCATCTTAAGCAATGGTTGTTCATCTTGAGGATGCAAGAAGGTACGCCTTTGAGGGAACATCTTGAACAATTTAATTCTATTTTGTTGGATTTACACAATATAGATGTGAAAGTTGATGATGAAGATGTTTCCATAATCCTGCTTGTGTCTTTGTCGAGTTCATATGAGAATTTCGTGGATTCTTTTATTGTTGGGAAAGATAGCTTGTTATTAGACGATGTCAGATCTGCTCTTTACACGAGAGAGATACAAGGCGTCCGGATCTGGTACATGTGGTGAAGCAGCGGGGTTGGCTATCACATGTGGAAAGGGAAAGAAGAAATATGGTAAAGGGAATTCGAACAAGAATTTCAAAGGTCCTGGTCCACATCCAGGTGATGTTTTTCACAACTGTAAGGAATTGGGGGCATTGGAAGTAAAACTGTCCCAGGAGAAGAAGGCAACAGAAGAACTGAGGTTCAGTTGTTGTGGCAGAAGTGGACAACAGTTCTGAAGACGATCTCGGCTTCGCTGTAGATGAGAAGGCACATTGTGGTGATGTGTGGTTACTGGATACTACAACATCATACCATATGTCTCCGAACAGGGATTGCTTCACAACCTACGAGCAGATAGATGGTGATAACGTGGTCATGGTAAATGGAGTTGTCTGCAAGGTTGTTGGAATCGGGTCCATAAAGGTTCGGACACATGATGGTTCATTCTATACCGTGAATGATGTTAGGCATGTTCCACGAATGACAAAGAACCTGATCTCCTTGAGTCTACTCGACAACAAGGGTTTCAGTTTCAAAGGAAAAGGTGGAGTTGTGTATGTTTGCAAGGGTTCGAGGAAGGTACTGAAAGGCGTGAAACATGGTACCTTGTATGCATTACAAGGAAATGTGTTGTTAGGCTTTGCTGGATTTGCGTCGTCTTAGGTGCATCAGGAAGATATGACCACTCTCTGGCGCATAAGACTAGTTTATATGAGTGAACACGGGACGCAAGTTATGTCAAAGGGAGATCTTCTTTGCGGGCAAAAAGTGCAGAATTTGGTATTATGTGAGCATTGTGTGTTTGGGGAAGCTACATTGCAACAAGTTTCCCAAGAAGGGTATCCACCAGACAAAGAGGATATTGGATTACCTCCACTCTGACTGTTGGGGTCCTTCGCGAGTTGAATCCATTGGAGGCAACAGGTATTTATTTTTGTCTATTATTGATGATTATTCGAGTTTTACTTGGATTTTCATGACGAAGCAAAAAAGTGGTGCTTTCACGAAGTTCAACCAATGGAAGACATTGGTGGAGAATAAGACCGGTAAAAAGATCAAGAAGCTATGAACAGACAATGGTCTGGAGTTCTGCAGTTCTGAGTTATTGAATTCTGCAATGATGAAGGGATTGCTCGTCATCCAACCGTTAGGGATACACCCCAGCAGAATGGCGTTGTAGAATGGATGAACCAGACATTGTTGGAGAGAGCATGGAGCATGCTCTCTAATGCTGGAATAGAGAGAAGATTCTGGGCAGAAGTAGTAAACATGGTGTGCTTCCTGATCAACCGTGGACCTCACACATGTATCGAGTGTAAGACTCCTTATGAAGTGTGGTATGGTACCTACTGATTATTCTTCACTGAAAGTTTATGTATGTCTTGTTTATTTTCATGTGGATGAGGGTAAAGTGAACCCAAGGGCAAAGAAGGGTATATTTGTGGGTTATGGACATGGAGTTAAGGGATTTCGAGTCTGGTCACCTTCTGAGCATCGAGTTATACTCAGTAGAAAGGTGATATTTGATGAGAAGTCTATGTTTAACCACATGTTGAAGGTTATTGTTGTTGAACGTAGCAGGAATGTTGATAAGCAGGTGGAGCTGCAAACTCTCAAAGAGAGTGAGTTTGAGCACCAAAGTGGAAAAGATCAACATGATGAGGATGTTTCTACAGAGCCAAACACTTCAGATTCCAGTGCACGAGCTCAACAGTCTATGGCTTCCGGTAGAGGTATGGATTTGAGGATATGGTGGTGTATTCATTTCAGGTTGCTAAGAAGTGGATGCAGGTGAACCACAATCATCTAGGGAAGCCATTTCGTATGGCGATGTTGATTAGTGGCTTGCCGTACTGGGAGATGTGATTGAATCCCATGACAGGAATCAGACTTGTGAGCAAGTCAAACGACCATAGGGAAGGAAGATTGTTACAAACAAGTGGATCTACAAGAAGAAGGAAGGAATCACTTCTGAAGAGGGAATTAAATTTAAAGCTTGGGTGGTTGCACGAGGCTTCTCGCAAAGGGAAGGCATTGACTATAATGAGATTTTCTCACTAGTGGTCAGACATACTTCGATCAGGGTGCTATTAGCAATAGTGGCAGATTATGACTTGGAGCTCGAGCAGCTAGATGTGAAGACATCTTTTCTATATGGAGAGTTGGAGGAAGAAATTTACATGACTCAACCAAAAGGATTCTAGGTTCCAGGAAAAGAAGACTATGTTTGTATGTTGAATAAGTCCTTGTATGGACTTAAGCAATCTCCGAGGCTGTGGTACAAGAGATTTGACAGTTACATTCTTGAGCTGGGCTACAATAGAAGTCCATATGATTGTTTTGCTTATCACAACAAGGTGGAGGATGGTTCGATTATCAATCTTGATGTGTATGTGGATGATATGCTCATAGCTGCTAGGTCGAAGTCTGATGTTCAGAAGTTAAAGGGGCTTCTCAGTGCTTAGTTTGAGATGAAGGATTTGGGAGATGCTCAGAAGATCTTGGGTATGGATATTTACAGGGATAGGTCAAAAAAGAAGCTTTTTTTGTCACAAAAGAGCTACATCCAGAAGATACTTTCGAGATTTGACATGTCTTTAGCAAAGCCCTTGAATATTCCTAGTGCTCCAAATGTTCATCTATCCTCAACCTATGCATCGCAGTGAGAGGCTGAGAAGGAGTACATGTTGAGAGTCTCATATGCTAGTGTAGTAGGTATCTTGATGTACGCTATGGTATGCTCTAGACCTGATCTTGCACATGTTGTTAGTGCTGTCAGCAGGTTCATGATACAACCTGAGAAGGAGCATTAGCAGGCTATGAAGAGGATCTTCTGGTACCTTATGGCTACATCTGATGTGGGGATTTGCTTCGGAAGTGATAAAGAGTGGTTGGTGACTAGGTATTCAGCCTCGGACTATGCTGGATATGTTGACACGAGGAGATCGATGACTGGTTATGTATTCACTCTTGGGATTTTTGTAGTGAGCTTGAAGGCAAATCTGCAGTCGGCGGTGACATTGTCTACTACTAAGACAGAGTATATGTCGTTAACAGAAGCTGCTAAGGAGGGAATACGGTTGAAGGGATTGGTTGGTGATCGGGGTCTACATCATGATCAAGTAGTGGTGTATTGCGATAGTTTGAGTGCAATATGCTTGGCCAAGGATCAAGTCCGTCATGAGAGGACTAAGGACATCGATGTGAGGTATCATTTCTTGATGACAGAGAAGAGGATTAAGGTGAAGAAGGTTGGCACCACGGATAATCCTGCTGATAAGTTCACGAAGCCGATTCTACATGGCAAGTTTCAACACTGCTTAGACTTGCTGAATGTCTTGAGTTGGTGACTCCACCCTAAGGGGCATTGATGGCAGGAGGGAGACCAGTAGCAGAGTACATAAGAGATTTTAGAGGAAGAAGATTCAATTCAAGGTGGAGCTTTGTTGATGTGACTTGAATCGGACTATCAGCCGCTAAGACTAATGTAACACCTTAGGCGAATCCCACATCGACAAAGCACGAGAGAGATCCATGGTTCATAAGTAAGAGACCGACCATAACTGACAAGACGCGTTTTCGGGTGAAATGGAAGAGTTCTTGTGAGAACTCTAAAGTTAAACGTGCTCAGTGTGGAGTACAACAAGGATGGGTGACCTTATGGGAAGTCACCTTGAATTGCACCCTAACTCGAAAACCGTGAGGGTCTGGGTCCAAAGCAGTCAATATCTTCATCGGGAAAAGGTCCAGGATGTTACAAGTGGTATTAGAGCCTCTCTGCGTCTGTCTTGAATGATGGTGGGGAAAACCTCAACGAGTGCCTTGAGTCCCAAGGGGGGTGTATGTAACACCTTAGGCGAATCCCACATCGACAATGCACGGGAGAGATCCATGGTTCATAAGTAAGAAACCGACCTTAACTGAGAAGACGCATTTTGGGGTGAAATGGAGGAGTTATGTCAGAAATCTGAAGTTAAATATGCTCAGTGTGGAGCACACCAAGTCGAAAACCATGAGGGTCTGGGCCCAAAGCAGACAATATCTTCGTCGGGAAAAGGTCTGGGATGTTACAACTAGAAGTTACCGGGGTCTCGATGACTCGATGATGCTCTATGGGCATATCGCACGATCTACAAGACATTGTTTATGTGACTTGAATCGGATTATCAGCCGCTACGACTGGAAGTCCACGGTGTGTGGGTAGATACATTTTTGGGTTGTCAGTTCTGTTATGTAACCGTTTCCTTTACCATATTGGATTTGGTTTTAGATCCACATGGAGAAGTATAAATACTTCTTATCTCATCTCCTCTGTAATCTCCTCGATATAGTGAAAATGGGCTCCCTCCTGTCCATGGACTAGCTAATAGGGGTGAACAAACACACCCGCAAACCGACCTACCCGTCCAACCCGACACAACCCACCCGTATTTACCGCTAAAACTAAGGTTTTCGGTTGGGTAAGGGTTTTCTTTTGTACAACACACCTCTTTTGGGTTGGGTTTGGATTTTGGATTACGCAACCCGTAGAACCCAACCAAACCCGTGTTCCAACTATTAGTATGAGTTCGTATCCAAAACATATTTATGTCATATATAGCCATACTTATGAGAAAATTAAGATATTTCACCATGTTTTTCACATAATCCTTTTTCTTGTGTACAATTTTAATAGAATAACATATTATGGATGCGTTCGTTTGTAACTTTTTTAACCTATTTCAACAAATGTCGTGAAAAAATTAGACATATGTTGAAGTAAGACATATTTTATTAAACTTCAAACAACATTTGTGAATTTTGATACCTTTCACCTCGGTTTATCCGTTTGAAATTTTAATTATTTATCAAATATTTTTATGGTGTAGAATAATTATATATTTTGTGTTGGGTTGGGTTGTTACTTAAACATGTCGTCAACCCGACCCAAACCATTTAAAAATAAACCGTAGGGTTTTAATTTTTTTGGGTGGGTTTGAGTTTAATATTTTCCAAACCGTAGTGCATGGGTCGGGTGATTAAAATGACTACCACCCGGCCATGTACACCCCTACTAGCTAACACACATTGTGTTAGTGAACCATGTAAATCGTTTGTCATGTGCTTTCTATTTTTCATTTTCTTGCTCTGTCGAATCCTTCGATTTCCCGATCCGCAGAAAACGGTCGTAACAGACACCAATAGGCATCTCACCTTATTAATTTGTGTACGACAAGGCTTGCCATTTGCCTATAGAGTTAGAGCATAGGGCTTTATAGGCTTTTAAACTATTGAATATGGACCCAACTTTGTGTGGAAATGAAAGGAAGTTGCAAGTGTTGGAACTTGAGGAGTGGCGTGTTCATGCCTATGAGAACACCAAGCTTTACAAGGAAAAAACGAAGCGCCTTCATGATGCTCAACTGAAAGGAGACAAGATTTCCAACCGGGGGAACAGGTGCTCCCGTACAACTCTAGGCTCCGTTTGTTCCATGGAAAGCTGAGATCGAAATGGTCGGGGCCGTACCTAGTAAACTGAGTGTTTCCATATGGGGTGGTGTAGATTTCCCACTCGGAGCAAGGGACATTTAAAGTGAATGAACACCGCCTCAAACGTTACCTCGAAGGCGAGGTAATGGCACAAAAGGAGGTGGTCCTCTTGCAAGAGTTATATTACGAAGGCTCCGTCTAGCTTAAGACGTTAAAGTAGCGCTTTTGGGGAGGTAACCTGATAGACCATTGATTGCACATGTTTTTACCCCTATTCTTGAGCCTTTTGAGATGTTGATTCTCGTGTTTTAAGTCGATTTTACGCAAGGTTGTGTGTTTATGTCATATTTCAGGGCTTAGCGTTGGCATCGAGGCGAAGAAATGAGTTTCGGTTCGAAAGGAGAACGTTTGGGGTTGAAGTGTGTTGGAGGAGCAAAATACCCGACCATGGGCAGAAATACCCGGTCGGGTATTAATCGGAGCAGACCGGGGAAAACCTGTTTTGGGCGTTTGAGAAGCAGAAGTGGGCCCGGGAAGTAATCATAAATCCCCGGTCGGGTATTCTTGACCCTGACAGGGGATTAACCACCTGTCCCCGACGGTGCGTTCAGGTCTCCACCTAAAATACCCGACCAGGTATTCTGACCGGGGATCGCGAACGCAGGCTGTTAAAAGCCTATTTTGTTCGTTTTTGTGAGGGAGAGCTGGGTTTTGGATCCCAAGCACTCAAGGGACGAACCAAAGAGAGAGAGGGCGATTTGAGGGCATTCTTGGAGTGGAATTGGATGATTTTTTCGCCTTGGAAGCTCGAGGAACAAGCCCGGACTTGAAGACTGATCATCTGAAGATTCTAACTGCAGTCTCTCTCTTCACTATGGAGTAACTTCCCTTCACTTAGGTTTCGAGGAACCCTAGCTATGTTTGTTTGATTGGATGATTGTATGAGTACTCTTACTTGATAATCTTGAGTTCATATTCAATCTATGCATGTTTTCATGATTCAATTCTGCTTTAGTTGAGATTATTGATTTTGCTTTGATCCTATGAGAGCGAATACCTGATTAGGTCAATAGAGCACCATAGATTGATAGTATTGGATCGATCGCTTTAGTCGAGGGTCGATTCACTGCTTTGTATTGACTGAGAACCTCTTTCGATAGAGGGAGTCTAGTTTAGAAGGCCTTGATTGGTTGTTTTAGAGAAGGATACGTCCCTATAGGCAATTGACTCAAGAGGGCCTTGTTCCTTTAGTCGAGACTCAAGGTCTAGTCAAGGATTCTCCACATTGCGAATGAAAGTGAAACAGGTTAGAGATCATCAATCATTAATCTGGCTAGTGGCTGGGGGGAATCATACCTAAGTGAGTTCCCAACCTGTAATTAGATTAACTTTAACTATAGTTTGTTAGAGTAGTTTTAGTTCTTCCATCTTAATATGGTTTGCTAGATAATGAACTGAAGCCGAGTAATAGTAACTCTAGAGACCCGTGGATTCGATATTTATTACTTAAGCCACTATATTGCAGTTCCTTTCATTGGTTACACTTGGCCATTGTTAGAAGTTGTGCCATAGCGAGTCAAGTTTTTGGCGCCGTTGCCGGGGACTTTCTAGATTATTAGGAAAAGCAGAAGTTTGTTACTTTAGCGTTTTCTTTTCTTTTCCACCCTTGCTTTTCACTTGGGTGTTTTTGTTTTTGTTGGTGCAGATCTGAATCATGGATCCTCATGGCTTCTCCAACCATTGGGAGTATCCACCACCGTCCGCGTGGTAGTACCCCGAGACTCCCTGGAGCAATCAAGGAGGAGAAGACTATGGATTCGGGTTCCAGTACCAACCCCCTTACTACGGAGAACAATCAGACCCCTGGGCATATGAAGAACAATCCCTTTATCAAGTAGAATTTCTCTCACAACCCGAAGGGCCATCGGAGCTGGAGTTACCCATGGCAGCCTTCACGGGCCATTCTGCAGAGCCATGCCACACTCCACAACCAGATCCAAACTATGAATTGAGGCTTCTCATGGAGCAGTTTGCTCGAGATAGTGAGAGATCATGGTCTAGGATGGATCTTTGTACCCAGGCCTTTCATGAAACAGAGGAGATCCTCCTGAGCATTAAGAAGAGCGTCGATGATCTTGAGCGATCTTATGCACAACCTGCTCCAGATCACCCTTCTGCTACCATACTAGAAGAGGAGGAGGAAGAAGAAGGCTACGAGGACATTGTGGAGCACACTAGAGTTGTCACGTAGAGCTCCCGTGATAATCATGATCAGGAATGTCCTGTCATAGCCGACCACACCTTCCCACATCCCAAAATGAGCTTTGAAGAGGCGGGCATGAGTGAGGAGATGCAAGAAGATCTCATGAAAAAAATTTCTTGGAAACTTGCTCTCCAATCCGTGCTAGAAGAAGAAGAGCGAGAAAGGGTGCAGAAAGAAGTTGTGGAGGATGACGAAAGTGAAGCAGAAGGATTTCTTGATCATTTCCTAGGGGTGATACCACATGAAGAAGGAAGGGAGGTTGCATAAGCAATTGGCGTCCAGATTGAGGACGGAGTTGTGGTGGAAGAGGCTTGCACCGACCATGAGTTACACGTGATATCTCCACCAAACTTCGAGGAATTGTTTAGCAAGGACCCATTTGCAATGCCTCTTTGCTAGACCAAGGCCACGTCGACATCGGTCCCTCTTGGTGAACGCGATGGTGGTCAATCGATGCTGTCATATCTAGTTTGGGGCAATGAGATGAAAGAAGAGAAGAAGAGGTCTCGAGGGTGGAGACTTCATCCGCATCAAGTGCATGAGCTTCCATCACCTGTCATACCACATGCTCGTGACTTGAGACACCACCTCATTGATGAGAACCTCAACTTCAAGGAGGTTTTTCGGTGGACCGTAACTTAGGAGCCATCGTCCGGCTCACGACGGGAAAGAAGCGCTTGTTGAGAGGCAACCCAACCAGTCGGTTTGCAGTTCTTTCTCTTTTTCTCATCGCTTGAGTCAGTTTTGTTATTTGATTTTAGAGTCAATAACTCAACCTTTGTGAGATTTTTTGTGTGGTGTTTGTGTTCCGACTACTCTCTCCTCCTGGAATACACCGCCTACCCCGTCCACCATCATTCACCCTTGATCAAGTAACTTCGTTCTACCCTCCTTATCTTTCCTCCATTGAGGACAATGTCGTGCTTAAGTGTGGGGGGATGTTCAATTATGCATGCGGGTGAATGTTTGGCTGTTTGTGTGCTTGGAGCCTAGTCCACTGTCCAAATTTTTAAATTTGAGGGCTCCAAATACGTATCTCCATGCAAATTGCCTGCTCAGTATGCTTTGAATTGACAGTCTCTATAGTAATGTGCAACCTAGGGAGGTAGTGTAGCACTATGGAGGATGTTGAAGTATAAGATTTTTCCTATCTAGCTCTCTGCTGTGCTAGTTGATTTTGTGAATTAGTGGAGCTAAGACTGTTGAATTCATGTGGTAATGGTGACTCTATTTGGATTGTGTTATGGACTCGTGTATCGAACAAGGTGCTCATGTGGAAAATGAAAAGCAGTTGGTCCTCCATATCGAAATCATTGAAATCTTAAACATGGGGTAAGCCCAACGTGTGTGGCACCGTTCATTGCACAAAATCGGGTTTTGGAATAGATTTTAGTGATCCTTAGTGGGGTACTCCTACAAGGTGAAGCTAAGCTATCTCTAGTACAAGTAAAACTTCCACTCGTTGAACGTTTGCCTAGTCGAGGATGTGTTTTTAAGGGTACGGATAGAGCTTCCGACCCCCCTTAATTTCATTGACCCTCCACACGAGTTGAGGAAAAGGAGTTAAAAGAAGTACTCTAGCGAGCGCCAGATGTACATAAATTACTCTTGCTCGACCAATAATGGTCGACCATGCAAAAGACTGCAGTTGGAACCCCCACCAAGTGAATGAAAAGAAAAAAAAGTAAAATGAAAGTGAAAAAGGGGTTCCAACGGTGAAGTGAAGTGAAAGAGCACCCTGGTACAACGAGTCCTTGGTTGTAAATGGTGTGAGTCCCTTTATCCATGAACTGACTGTCTTACTTCTACTTCTTCTCATGATCCTAGCTTGAGTCTAGTACTCGCATTGAGAGAGATAGGAAACGTCTTAGAAGACCAGTTGACTTCGTAAGCTGCTATATGATCTAGGAAATCCTCTACTGACGATCAGGCTTGTTTGTCGCTATAGAGGTCTGGAGAGTTGCATTGGTTTGAGTTAAGGTTGCTTGGGGACAAGCAAACGGTTAAGTGTGGGGGAGTTTAATAGACCATTGATTGCACATGTTTTTACCCCTATTCTTGAGCCGTTTGAGATGTTGATTCTCGTGTTTTAAGCCGATTTCACGCTAGGTTGTGCGTTTATGTCATATTTCAGGACTTAGCGTTGGCATCGAGGCGAGGAAACGAGTTTCGGGTCGAAAGGATCACGTTGGGGGGTTGAAGTGTGTTGGAGGAGCAAAATACCCAGCCGTGGGCAGAAATACCCGGCCGGGTATTAATCGGAGCAGACCGGGGAAAACCTGTTTTGGGCGTTTGAGAAGCAGAAGGGGGCACGGGCATTAATCATAAATCCCCGGTCGAGTATTCTTGACCCTGACGGGGGATTAACCACCTGTCCCCGACGGTGCGTTTTGAGAATACCCGGTCTCCACCTAAAATACCCGACCGGGTATTCTGACCGGGGATCGCGAACGTAGGCTGTTAAAAGCCTGTTATGTGCGTTTTTTAGAGGGAGAGCTGGGTTTTGGATCCCAAACACTCAAGGGACGAACCAAAGGGAGAGATGGCAATTTGAGGGCATTCTTGGAGTGGAATTGGAGGATTACTTCGCCTTGGAAGTTCGAGGAACAAGCCCGGACTTGAAGACTGATCATCTGAAGATTCTTACTGCAGTTTCTCTCTTCTCTATGGAGTAACTTCCCTTCACTTAGGTTTTGAGGAACCCTAGCTATGTTTGTTTGATTGGATGATTGTATGAGTACTCTTACTTGATAATCTTGAGTTCATATTCAATATATGCATGTTTTTATGATTCAATTATGCTTTAGTCGAGATTTTTGATTTTGCTTTGATCCTATGAGAGCGAATACCTGATTAGGTCAATAGAGCACCATAGATTGATAGTATTGGATCGATTGCTTTAGTCGAGGGTTGATTCACTGCTTTGTATCGATTGAGAACCTCTTTTGATAGAGGGAGTATAGTTTAGAACGCCTTGATCGGTTGTTCTAGAGAAGGATATGTCCCTCTAGGCAACTGACTCAAGAGGGACTTGTTCCTATGGTCGAGACTCAAGGTCTAGTCAAGGATTCTCCGCATTGTGAATAAAAGCGAAACAGGTTAGAGATCATCAATCATTAATCTGGCTAGTGGCTAGGGGGAATCATACCTAAGTGAGTTCCCAAACTGTAATTAGATTAACTTTAACTATAGTTTGTTAGAGTAGTTTTAGTTCTTCCATCTTAATCATGTTTGCTAGATAATGAACTGAAGCTTGGTAATAGTAACTCTAGAGGCCCGTGGATTCGATATTTATTACTTGAGCTACTATATTGCAGTCCCTTTCATTGGGTACACTTGGCCATTGTTAGGAGTTGTGTCATAGCGAGTCATAACCCAATGCTATTGTGAGTTTTTCTTCTTGTAAACTGTGATGTTGAATATTGTTATGTGTATTAACCTCGCCTCGAGCGAGAATGTTTGTGTTTTTGTTTGTTTACTTCTTCTTTTTGAAGCTCCAAATATCCTACCCGGTCTATGTCCAACTTTCACTTGCCATTATTCGATAACTTTTTCACCTATCCTTTTTCTCCATTGAGGACAATGTCGTGCTTAAGTGTGTTTGTGGGGTGTATCATTTGTGATTGGATTGTGGGGAAGAGGTTGATCAATCTAACCTATTGTGCATAAGAGAAGTAGCTGCTGAGTGTTGGGGTTCATCTGTTTCAAAAAAATGAGAAAAGAACGAGCACATTTATCTTGACCCACTGCGGAGCGCGATATCTTAATGCTAGTATAGTATAAAGTTAGTCACTTCAACAAAACATAACTATTCACATAAGTAAAGGTTCAATTTACCTGAGCTACTGACTCGCTCTACACTATTTTAGAAGTACAGTTTCTTTACTTCAGTTTATTATCTAACGAAACAAAAATAGTGATTGAAAAAATAACCTACATAAGCTACTCTTACTACTATTCTCACTAATTACAAGGTATGTGGGAGCTCACGCATGAATCGCCCTTATTCCTTCATAGGTCCATGTTGAATATTTCTCTTGATTGATTGGATCGATACTTCTACCGTGGAGAGTTCTGGACTAGATTGGACTCCCTATTCGAGTTATCCAACTGCGCTCAATTGACAACATGGAAGGCGTACTATACAACCGACCTACCTGATCTTTCAATTCCCAAACGAACTTACCTGCTCGTGGGTGTTTAGAGGAGGACCATGAAATATCCGGGGCAATAATTTGTTCTTGAAAAATGCGAAAAGGGAATGGTACTTGTGTCCCTTGATAAGTTAGGGCTCCCTGTTTGGTTTAAAATTTCTTGTCTACCTATGGAGTGTTTGTTACTTGAGTGTTTGAGCAAAGTAGTAAGCATGATAGGAAGACCCTAATGTACTGATCAGTTGACAAAGGTGGGAGATCAATTGGGAGACACCAAGTGTTATATGGAGATCAATGTGGATTCAAGTTGTCCTGAAACTTTATGGTTTTAATGGGAAAGTTTTTCAGCCTAGGTTGACTACTACAATTTGCCTCTCAAACGTAAGCAATGCAAAAAATTTGGACATGATTGTAGTAAAGAGGACTGAAGATAGATGAAGGTTTTGATTCCTAAAGCTAAGAACAACTCAGTTCTAGTAGAAAGTGGAGGTGAGGTGAAAGAACAGGAAGTAAACGTTGTAAATGAGGAAACTGTGGAGGATGCTCTAATGGAAATTGGTATAGTAAAGGAGATGGTACAAGCTGAGGTATCAGGTGTGGCAACTAGCCTAGAGCGAGAGATGGTTCAAATCGAGGTGAAAGAGGATTTAATGGCAATTGCCCTAGTGTAGAAGGAGCTACAAGTTGAAGTGTTGCAAGCTGACATTAAGGAAGGAAGTAAAAATGGAGCCAGTATAAAAGTTGAATCATATGATTTAGAGATGAATAGGTTGCCATTTGAAGAAGAATATCAGAAAGTGGTTCAAAGGAAAGAATGTGGTTGTGTCTCACATGAAGGAAGGAGAAGATATATCTTTGTTCATAAATGATAGTGCAGTGTTGGATACCTTGACTTCTTCAGGTAAAGATGTAAAGCTTCTGGAAATAGGGGGAAGGGGTAAGAAGATTGGAGGGTGGTGGCAATTTGTTTCAAAATGCCCAATAATAATAATGTCATGGAATGTTGGGGGATTTAATCAATCCTCTAAACATAATTGTGTGCGTAAACTAGTTAAACAACATAAGATAGATATAATGGCAATATTAGAAACTCGAGTACAAAAAATCAAAGTAATGAGAACTTGTAAAAAGGATTTCCCTCGTCTGAAACTTATAGAAAATATCAGAAACTGAAGGAAAGATATGGAATCTTCGTAAGCATGAGCTTAAAAGATATGGATTCTTCGTAAGCATGAGCTTACTTGTTACTGGTTTAGCTACTGAAGCAAATTTCATACATATGTAAATCCATGAGGAGAGAGGCTTGTCTGCTTATAGTGGTATATGGATCTCACGATGTTGCAAAAAGGAGAGCTACATATGATCAAATGAGACCACTGAAGGTCTCAAAACTTCCATGGATGGTGATTGGTGATTTTAATGCAATCCTGGATGTAGCTGCTGCTTCTAATGGGACAAGTCCCGGGAGAAGTGGAGAAGACTTTCAAAGTTGGGTTGATGATATGCAATTAGTGGAGCATCGGATGGCTGGAGAGAAGTTGACTTGGGTGAATAAACAAGATAATAACCTCATAGTAAGGAAGATTGATAGAGTTCTGGACAATAGTGATTGGTTTGGGACTCACATAGGTAGTATGTCAAGTAAAACTGTTCCAAGAGTGATGTCTGACAACTATGGGATACTGGTGAATTCTTCTCCAGTTAGAAAAACTTTGCCTTAGACTTTTAGATACTGCTCCTTTTGGGGTTCTCATCCTAGGTTCCAAGAGTTACTGCAGACTACTTGGAATACAAAAGTTGTAGGATACCCATTTTATAAAGTGTGCCAGAAGTTAAGAATTCTTAAGAAGAGCTGAAGGAGTTAAATAAAGAATTCTATTATGATATTTCCGAGGATCTAAGCAAGATGAGGTCACTATGAAACTAGCTCAGAAAGATGCATTTACAAACCCTTCTATTGCAACTTTTGAACTTGAGGCTCATGTGTCATCTGAATGTTCAATCAATATATTAAAAGCCCAAGCAACCATTTACCGTTGCATACGAAAAAGTAGTGCAAGGTAATTAAAAAATTCCCAGCGGTACTGTTCACAAGAGCCTCTATTTCCTATACCCAATTTCACCGTAAGCTCTTTTTTATTTGCATAATACAATAATTTTGCAAGATCAATTATTTTTATGTAGCATTTTATTTCCTACACTTAATCCCATATACTAAATGTTATTCAAATATATACGAAAAGTAGGGCAAGGTAATTAAAAAATTCTCAGCGGTACTGTTCACAAGAGCCTCTATTCCCTATACCCAATTTCACCGTAAGCTCTTTTTTATTTGCATAATAGAATAATTTTGCAAGATCAATTATTTTTATGTAGCATTTTATTTCCTACACTTAATCCCATATACTAAATTTTATTCAAATATATACGAAAAAGTTGGGCAAGGTAATTAAAAAATTCCCAGTGGTACTATTCACAAGAGCCTCTATTCCCTATACCCAATTTCACTGTAAGCTCTTTTTTATTTGCATAATACAATAATTTTGCATGATCAATTATTTTTATGTAGCATTTTATTTCCTACACTTAATCCCATATACTATTTTATTCAAATATGATATTTTTGGCAACTTTATTTTATTATTAGACCATAAATTACTGTTCACAGAGCTTCTATTCCCTATACCCAATTTCACCGTAAGCTCTTTTTTATTTGAATAATACAATAATTTTGCAAGATAATTTTTTTCATAGCATTTTATCTCCTATACTTAATCCCATATACTAAATTTTATTCAAATATGATATTTTTCGTAACTTTATTTTATATTAGACCACAAATTACGAAAGAATTACGCAACACTGTTCAATAAAAGTTAGGTACATTACGAATACAATATCTAAATCTTATATAGTAACCACACATTATGAAAAATTTATGTAATACTGTTTTATAAAAGTTACGTAGATTATTATATTAAAAGACCAAGCATGCCAAGCATTAGTTTACGGTTGCATACGATAAAATAGGGACAAGGTAATTAACAAATTCCAATGGGTACTGTTCACAAGAGTTTCTATTACATATACCCAATTTTTTATCATAAGTTCCTATATAAATATACGAAAAATAGGGACAAGGTAATTAAAAAAAAATCAACGGGTATTGTTCACAAGAGTTTCTATTATCTATACCCAATTTTATCTTAGGTTCTTATATAAATCTTATCGACTGACCACACATTACGAAAGATTTACGTAACATTGCTCTATATGAGTTATGTACATTACGAATACAATATGCAAATTTTACGGAGTGATAGTTATTTCTTATGTATCAATTACACAATAGATAAGTCATCCAAAGTCATCTATTGTCGAAAAAAAAGAAAGATAAGTCATCCATAATGATTAGGACTTACATAGTAGCTATAAAAGGATAGTTATTTATTATGTATTAATTAAATAAACTCATTACGTAAGTACTTCATAATATAAGTTTGAATGAAAAATTATTTATTATTAACTAAACTGTTGCCTATCACATCAAATTGGATTACACAAAGGTTATTTCTCTATAACAGTTTCATCAATGTCACATTTTTCACAATTTATTTTCTTGATTATTGACTAACAATATTTCATTTTTTAATAAAATATTCACCATGTCGTCAATTTATATTACGAAAAAGGTTCCGTAATGTTAGTTAACTTCTACATGACAGTTTAAATAGGATCAATGTAAGTAATAGATTCCCAACGGGGTACATTTCACATAGTTTCAATTCCCTATGTCCAATTTTATCGTAAGCTCTTCCTTATTTGCATTATACAATGATTTTTTCAATATCAATTATTTTTTTACATAACATTTTATCTCCTATACTCAATTCCTCATATTAGAATGATATTCAAATATGATATTTTCCATAACTGTATTTTATTATTAGACCACACATTATGAAAGATTACATAAAATATTTGTTAACGGTTACATTACGAAAAGGTTTCATAATGTTAGTTAACTTATAATTGATAGTTTAATCAAATGTGATATTTTACATAAATTAATTTTATTATTAGACCATATTTATGAAAGATCTACATAACAAAGTTTATTAACAAATACGTTATGAAAATATTTCGCAATGTTAGTTCATTTTTACATGACAATTCAATCAAATGTGATATTTTTCATAACTTAATTTGATTATTAGACCACACATTATAGAATATTTACATAACACCCTTCATTAACAGTTACGTAAATTACAAATATATTACCTTAAACTTATGGAGTAATCGATATTTCTTATGTATCACTTGAACAAACTTATGGCATAATTCATTAGTAATGATTTAGATACTACGAGTTGAGCATATAGTGATATCTTACTCAAATTTTATGAATTACTACATCATTTAATATGTGGATGAAATTTTAAATATAATTAGTTTCTCTCGCTGCAAAGCGCGGGCCAAAAAACTAGTTCTATTAAGAGCATAATAAGAGTTTTCAAGCAAAAACCAAGAGTCCAGGCAATCATAGAAGGAGATCTTAATACACATTACTTCCATCAAACCCTTAAGATTGGAACTCACATGAACACTATTACTTAGCTAAAAAGGGAAAATGGTTCCGTGGTCACCAGATATTGAAGATATAGTGCAAGTGGCTATTGATTTCTAAAAAACTATTGGACTAGGTTAACACTGAGGTGGTTAAATGTCGTGTAAGAGAAGTAGAAATGTTGCTGCAACGTAGGTTAGATGCTTCTGATGCAGATGGATTATGCAGTCAAGTTACTAGTGAGGTGATAAAGGAGGTAATTGTTAGCATAAAGACTAACAAAGCTCCTAGTCGTGATGGATACTCAATGGACTTCTACAAGGCTCACGTGAGTGTGGTAGGGAAGGATGTCACTGGTGCTATTTAGTCTTTCTTTGAGACTAGTCATATGCCCAGGGAAGTTAATTCTATTATTCTATCATTATTTCCTAATATGGTAAATGCTGATAAAATGAAGCTGTTTAGACCCATTTTATGTTGCAATGTGCTATATAAGTGAGTGGCAAAGATCCTCTCCAATAGATTATCCAGAGTATTTACGGATCTTATAGGGAAAAGCCAATCAGCCTTTGTCAAAGGTAGGGTTATTAGTGATAACATGCTCATGCTTCAGAGTTGGTCAATGGATATGAAAGTAACCACATCTCATCTAGTCGCACCCTTAAAATAGACTTGATAAAGGTTTTGGTGTTGTTGATTGGAGAATTCTTGTAATGAAAGATATGGGACTGACAGGAAAATTTCTTTAATGGACCAGAGTTTGCCTTACTACACATATATACTCAGTGTTATTGTGAATGAAGGATTGTGTGGGTATTTTCCTGTAAAGAAAGGTTTGAGAAATTAAAGATGACCCCTCGTCTCATTTCTTATTCATTATAGCTATGAAAATTTTATCTTGTATTTTCAAGAAGGCATCAACTAAGGGTTCATTTTCTTCATCCAAGATGTAATCCATTAGGGATAAATTATCTAGTTTTTGCTTATGACCTACTAGTGTCAAATAGAAAAGAACAGGTTGCGCAGGAAGTGTGCAGGCTTTTGCATAACTTTTACCACTTATCTGAACTTCTTTTAACCCTAAAAAGTCAGATATTCTGTGTCGGCGTGAGTGATGAAAAACATGAAAAATTGGCTACCATAATAAGGTTCCAGAAAGTTAAGTTTTTAGTGCGCTACTTAGGAATATCACTTATAGCAGGGAAGATTACTAATGCAGACTACCAACTTTTTATTGAAAGGGTAACTGTAAGACTCAAGGGATGGATGAAAATTTCGCAAGTAGAAGGGATGTAGTATCTTGGGACAAAGTACCTCTACCTAAACAGAAATGAGGGTTGGGTCTAAAATTTCATAAACCCTGGAATCTGGCTTGTACCACTAGGCATGTCTGGAGCATTTTGGTAAGAAAAGGATCATGGTAGGTTGCTTGGATTTAGAGATACAGAATCAGACACTACTCCTTCTGGGAATTATCTATTAGTTGTTGACGTTCTTGAATCTGGAAGAAAGTTCTAAAAACAACAGATAAAGAAGAGAAATACATCACTAGTTGAAACACATAAGTATTCTAGAATGGTAAGATTTTGAACACATACTCAGTTAAAATGGTATGGAATTATTTGAAGTTGACAACTTCTTAGTGGCGTAACCAGGAATTTATTCAAGGGGTGCCATAAAAATTACTTTTGTAGTCTCATGTTTGATATTGTGAAATTATTTTATAACTATATGAATCGGTCAAACTATCAAGATTTCACACTTAATATATCTCATCGAATAATCATTCACAATTTCAGTTCACTAGATACGTGAAGGTTGATCAATCGTTTCATAGCATAAAATGTTATTAACTTGTGGATTGACAAATGATTATAGCAAATCATATTTATTTTCACAAGTAAATACATTGATAGGAACTAATTTTAAAGTAGAAATTAGTGGATAAAATTAATTTATTAGTTTGTTGTGATTTAACGGTAGAAGATTTGACGATTGACATTAAAATTTAGGATTTAGATATCATCATCAACTAACTAATACTACTAATATTTTGTGCTTTCTCAAAATCTAAGGGGTGACATATTACACTCTACCTACGCCCCTGGAGCTCCTAGGGTAGTATGGTATGCCTTAACATGGGAGCAATATTGTGTGCCTAGACACAGTGCAATAAGAGGGCTTGTGATAAAAGACAAGATCTTTACTATGGATAAGTTGAATTTATGGGGGAATATCACTATAGTTTTGTTCTATATAGCCGTGTCCAGGAATCAAGAGACCACTAGTTTTTTTTATCGCCTGTAATCCAAGGCTATGTTACAAAGTTACTTGTAGATCACACAAGTGCACTATGTGGGGGTTTCTCAATATGATGAGTAAGTGTTGTGGGTTGTCCAGAAGTTTGGAGGGAAAAAGCTGTCTATGATTGCACGATTGCTTGGAATGTTATGGTTCTTAAAGAGCCTCTCCGTTGCTACCTTTGACAAGGAATCAAACATCAATTAGGACATGAAATGCTTCACCGTTGCTACCTGTTTGTCGTGGGTTGAGTCCCTATCTATACAATGGTTTGGAATAGTTTGAAATGATGTAATTCATATTAAAAATGAGGGTTAAAAGCATTTTGTACCCTTCTACTATGGTAAATTAACAAACGTATCTCTCTATTATATTTTTGCACAAACATACCATTCTAATATTAAAACGTAACGAGTTTACCCTTCCATCTAATTATCTGTTAAGTGACCGTTATATAAGCTATTAAATGACCAAATTACCCCTCATTTACTCATAATCACTCCTAATTTTAATTTTAATTATTTTATGTCCTAAATTAATTAATTAAAAATATCAAACCCTAGCTAATTCACACTCGACCAGCAACCGTCTGTCTCCCTCAAGTCTGCCTGGACTTGGCAGCGGCGCCTGCTCGGCATATTCTCGCCGGCGGTTGGAGTAGAGAAAACCGGTCTTGTAAAGCGTCGTGGGGCCCTCATCCCTCACTGTTTTGATTGCACAATCCAACGCGCCGGCGTACGGCGCAAGGCAGAAGTGGTGAGAGCTGGTTTTTGGAGAAGGAACACTTTGTTTCTCTAGGGTTTCAACCCAAAACACCAAAGGGGAGTTCTAGAGAGAGAGAGAGAGAGAGAGAGAGATCTTGGAGGTTAATTGAAGGCATTGATCAAGCTTGGAAGCTAGGAATCAAGCCTCGAAGAAGAAGATGAAGATCACTACACATCCATCGATTCGCCGTTCCGGGTCATTCCCGAGGGAGTCCATCTCCAAACGGTAGTGTAGTTGAGTCGATCGAGCTAGGAGGATACCCAACTTCGATCCAAAGAGCGGACCTAGGACGATTTTACCCAAGAGAGCTCCTCACCTTGTAAATAGTTAGGTTAGTGGTTAGCTAGGTTAGTAAGTTTAATTCTTCTAATCACCATCCTATGTTGGCTAGATAACGAACCCTAAACATGAAGTAGGGTACGCCTAGATCCCGGTGGTACGATAATTTCTTATTGCTTGCTTGCCCTATGCTAAACCCGATCGACGGTTATACTTGGCCGTCGATCGGGATGTTGTAGTTAGAACGAGTCTAGTTTTTGGCGCCATTGCCGGGGAACCATTCTATGTTATTTCATAAAGGGTTAGGTCGTTACTTTAGCCATTTTGTTTTGCGTTTTGCGTTTGTTGACCCTACTCTTCTCTTAGAAGGGTGGTTTGTGTGTGTTTCATTTTGTTTTTGTGTTTTTGTTTGTGTAGGTTGAATCATGGATCCCAATTGCTTCTACAACATGTGGGGGTATCCACAACCACCCAAATGTGGGTATCCCGGAGCTTCATGGAGTAACCAAGAAGGTGGAAGCCAAGGAACCGGGTTATATGATCAACCTCCCTTCCAAGAAGAACAAGCATACCATTGTGGATTTCAAGAAGCTCCCCCATATGAAGAAAACTTCCCTCCTCAAGTCGAGGAGAAATCCAAGTTGGATTTGGCAATGGAAGCATTCATGGGACGATATTCGAGACCATGTGCCACTCCACAACCGGAGCCGAAGAGCCAATTGGAGCTCATTGTGGAGCGGTTTGTTCGAGGCACCGATGAAGGGTGCTTGGATCTCCCACAATGCAAAGCGAAGTCCAAGTTGGAGATTGCCATGGAGAATTTTGCAAGAACAAGCTCCAACACGGATTTTAAACCCCTCCCTCCTCCCGGTTTGACACTAGAAGAGAAGGTGGCACAAGCTTGTGCAAGCTATCGCCTCTCATTATTGGAGGAGAAGGTGGAATGGGCTTGTGCAAGCTATCGCCTCGCATTATTGGAGGAGAACGAGGAGGTTGAAAGGGCGATCAATGACAACCATATGGAGCAAGAGGAAATCACTTCGGAGAGCTCCCGTGGTGAGAACGAACAAGAAGGTTGCATTGACGACTCCCATCATCTTCCCCTTCCAGAAAGAAACTTTGAAGACCAAGACACGAGTGTGGAGGAGCAAGAGAAATCCTTATATGATCTTTCATGGCATCTTGCCCTCCAAACCGTGCTTGGGGACACGAATGGGTAGGAGAAGGAAGAGGTTGAAGAGGAGGAAGAAAGCATTGAAGAAGGGGAAGATCTCGAGTGTTCCCAAAGGGAGGAAATTGAAGAAGAAGGAAGGGAGGTTGAAGAAGAAGTAGAAGAAGCAAGTGAGGTCCAAGATGAGGACGAGGTCAAGGTGGATGAAGCATCCACAAGTTACGAGGGCTATAAAGCTTTCCACCCGACCTCGATGCACTTTTAGAGAAGGACCCATTTGCAGCTCTATGCCAATCCAAGGCCAAACCATCGACGATCCATCTTGGTGGATGCGATGGTAATAAATCAATGATGCATTACTTGGTGTGGGGCAAAGAGAAGAAGGAAGGAAGGATGAAAGAATGAGAAGTCTCGTGGGTGGAGCTTCAAAGCCACTCAAGTTCACGAGCCCTCATTCATGGAGTCGTCCAATGCTCGTGACTTGAGACATCACCTTACTGACGAGAACCACAACTTCAAGGAGGTTCTTGGGTGGACCGAAACTTGAGGAGCAACCATCTGGCTCACGATGTTAAAGAAGCGCTTGTTGGGAGGCAACCCAACCACCATCGATTTGTTTCCTTTTGGATCCAATAAGTCGACCTTTTGCTTTGCCGTCTCCTTGCTCTTCCGGATCTCACCCACCCTCCGGTCCCGAACACCAACATTCAACCCTATTTGGTAACATCGTTCTACCTCCTTTTACGCCATTGAGGGCAATGTCAAGCTTAAGTGTTGGGGGGGGGGGGTAGTCCATTATGCATGTGTGTGTGAATCTTTGGTGTGATTTTGAATACTTGGAGCCTAGTTGTATGCCCAAATTATTAAAAATTGAGGGCTCCAAGCATAATAACTTCTACATTTGAATGATCATAGTGGCACCTTATGGTGATTTGTTTTGAATCTCACGGTTATTATGATTGTTTATGGATGATTTGCTTGTGATTACGTGCAACCTATGATGATTATTGAGACATGTATTAGGTTTGTGCATAGGTTCATCTCTCATGTGTTTGTGAACCGATAGATGTTTTGAATCGATTACTTGTTTTTCACAGTTGCCCATGCATCGAGTTTAGGGAATTAGAACGAATGATTGAGCACCTAGGTAGCCATGTGAGACTTGTGTCGTTCGTTTCGTTCTTGTGCGATAGATCCCCCTTTACATGATGCGTAGCATTCACGTTGTTGCTAAAGAGGAAGATGGAGGCATAGGTTTAGTCCACGACCCAAATGTTGACCAACCTGATCATATCATCCCTTAGTCCACCCCTTTGAGTCGTGTGCCTAAGGGTCGTTCTCATGTTAGGTAGCTCACGCTATTTGAGCTTGATTGATTTAGATAGAACGCCCCTACTTTCTCTGTGTCTACACTGTTATCTAGTCCCCCTTGTGTTTGGAAGCTCTATTCACACCATTTGAGCTTAAATGAGGTTCCACATGAGTGATTTGTGTATGGTTTTGCTAAGAATGAAAAAGTGAGTGCTGGAGGTAGTTTTCAAAGTGAGCATTGTTCCTTAAGTTAAAATGTGGCATGTGATTATAGCTCTCTATAGCCCACAAAGAAAAAAAAATCAATAAAAGGGCAGAGAAGAAAAGAGAGTGGCCGCCAAAAATATTATAAATATTGAACATCCTCTTAGAAGTCTTTCTTGGCATGCAAGCTATATAGACTAGGGGTGGATGTTTGGGTTGCGGATTGTGGATAATCTGCAAACCGCACCAACTCGCACCTATTGTGGGTAACCATACCCACAAGTTGTGGGTAGTGGGTTGGGTGTGGGTATTAAAATAACAATTTTTGTGGTTAGTGGTTATCCACTACCCACCGCGGTTAACCCACAAAATCCACAATAACCATACTAATTATATTTATTTAGTGAATTAACTTTATAATATAATAGTATGTGAAAACTATGAGGATAAAAATTAATGTAGCCACCAAATAAATAAGACACACCTAAAGTTGAATACCAAACTCAGAAAGAAAAAATCTCCATATTGAGTAAGATCGATGTACCAAATTGTATCTCCACGAATAACACAAGTGTATATCACTATAGTCTAGTTACAAACAACAAATACGTTAGTGGCGACTAGACCTCTATGCTTGCAAAGATGGATTTTTTCGGGTAACCACACCCAACCCGCACAAACCCACAGTGGGTAGTGGTTACCCACTAACCACTGCGGTGCGGGTTGTGGGTAGCATAATTGTAAATTTGTCGTTGTCGATACCCGCAAAATGTGGGAAGGGTAACCAAACCCACGGCAATTTCCACCCCTAATAGAGACACTTACATGTTGTTGACCTCTACACTCGTGTGCTCGAAATTGACTAGCAAATGTAGAAAAAAGGTATTTGTGACTTGGTTCGGTGATTGGTTGTGGTTTAGAATTGAGGGAAGTGTGGTTTTTGGCCGATGCTAGTGGCCATTGAGTATAGGAGAGGGTTCTAATCAAAACCTTAGAACCTTTTGTGGTTTTAGGATGGAAATATGGAACCTTATGCTATGTTTGCCACCATCCAAAAAGCTTTTCCCCCATGTCCTAGACCCTAGCCAGTCATTTGAACCTGTGTCTAAAACCTTCGGACAAGCTAGCAACGACACCCATCTTGTAAACTCTAACATTTATAGGTTACCATCATGGTAAAGGGACGTTAGGATTGAGCGTGAATATGCACATCTTTTGCATCAAATGGTCCTGACGCCACTAGTCGAGAGTGAGTGATTCATCATGTTTTGTTCATTTCTTATACCCCTGTGAGGACCTAGGTTGCTCGATCGTTCATCCTTATAATGTGATCTTCATGCATGTGTAATTGTGATTGGTGAGTCATCGAGGCATTTTGTGTGTCAGTTCGTGAATAATGTGAGAACTCTTCTTTTGCACAATCTTAATACAGTCGAATGTCGTTTGTGGTGGTTGCCATGATTACTTTGTTTTTGTCCACAGGTCGGTGTCAAATAACCATTGTGATTCATTCGTTTTGTGCCCTACGATATGCCTAAAACATTTTGTTGAAAAAGTGAAGTTGTAAGCTTACCTTGTTTTGTACTTGGTTTGCTTGGGGACATGCACACGTTCAAGTGTGGGGGAGTGATTCAGGTCCAATGGGACACATTTTACCCCTCATATCTTCATAGTTTTGCTTTGCATTTCATCTTCCCTCGACATATTTCACGCTAGGTTGTGCTTTTTTTTATACATTTCAGGTCCTAGCACGTGTGGGAAGGTCAAGGATGAGTTCTGGGTCGATTGGAGGTCGAAAATTGCTAAAAAGTGAAAACACCTGTGACTATTGCCCCGTAGCAGTGAAGGTCAGGCGTCCATGAAGCAGCCGCAGTTCACGGTCCAGCATTGGAGTTCACGGTCTCCCAAGACCGTGAATTGGAACCTCAAATTGTGAACAGTGAGGCATCCAGCGAGGTTCCAGATGTTACTGACGACCAGGATGTTCACAATCTCTAAGACCATGAACTTTGAGTGCAAACCGTTAACCTTGGAGAGTAAAGCGGTGCATTTTGGAGACGACGCTGAGTTCACGGACGCGTTAAGGTTTTCATGGCTGTGAATAGAGGCCGTGAACTGGGCTTGACCTGGGTATAAAAACATCAGCAGAAGGAAGAAGTGGGGAGAGCTGGTTTTTGGAGAAGGAACACTTTCTTTCTCTAGGGTTTCAAAAAAAAAAACACGAAAGGGGAGTTCTAGTGAGAGAGAGAGAGTGATATTGGAGCTTAATTGAAGGCATTGATCAAGCTTGGAAGCTAGGAATCAAGCCTAGAAGAAGAAGATGAAGATCTAGTGGTTTATTTGTAAACTCTCCTCTCTCTCTCTCTCTAGAAACTTACCCTCTTCTCTTGGGTTTAAGAAACCTAGGTCTAGATTTTGGTTTAATGTTGAGATATGTGACAAACTCCATGATTGATTGATGATTTTACTTAATTGATGGATGTTTTCATGAATGGCATAAGTTGGGTTTCCATTTTCATGCATTGAGCTTTTGACCTAGGAGGGAGATAATCCCCTTAGAGCCCCCCTCCCCTTTTGGCGTCTTCGAGTCACTCCTATCGTATATTTTCCGGGTAGTCCCCCAAGGGAATTGAATCGACCGGTCTCCTAGCATTATACGAAACCCTAGGTTGAAAAGAGCACTACCCATCCATCGATTCGCCGTTCCGGGTCATTCCAGAGGGAGTCCATCTCCAAACGGTAATGTAGTTGAGTCATCGAGCTAGGAGGATACCCAACTTCGATCCAAAGAACGAACCTAGGATGATTCAAACCAAGAGAGCTCCCCACCTTGTAAATAGCTAGGTTAGTGGTTAGCTAGGTTAGTAAGTTTAATTATTCTGATCACCATCTTATGTTGGCTAGATAACGAACCCTAAACCAGAAGTAGGGTAAGCAGAGATCCACGTGGTACGATAAATTATTATTTCTTGCTTGCCCTATGCTACACCCGATCGGCGGTTATACTTGGTCGTCGATCCGGATGTTGTAGTTAGAACGAGTCATACATCTCCTAACTCCAACCTTCATTCTTGGATCGTGAGAACTGAATACCTTGCTAATCCATTTCTCATCAACAAACCCGTCGTCTTTGCTTGTACAACCATTTCACCCATCGTGAATGTTCCAGAGTTCTCTTTAAACCTCTTAATTGGTTTCTTGGCCCATGGTCCATGTTAACAGGTTATTTGACCTCGATTATGATCATGAAGGGTTAGCATGATTGCATCATTCCCTCTCTCTTGAAGAAGATTCAAACTCAACTTTGTATGTGTTATTGATCTCGAATCAGCCCTCAAATCTTGATGTGACATATAAATGATCCTACATGACTTTGACATTTTCCAACTTGACCATGCACCTTGAATACTAAGATTGTCCACAAACTATTGAAGTCTTCGTCTCTCTAATGCTAAGCTTGTCCCCAAGCAAACCAAGTCAGACACAAGGTACGCTCAAAACATTTGAACCATGCAAACTTTGGGGACATATCATAGAGGTACAAAACATAAGAATGGCAACAACCATTTAGAACCAACACATGAGCAACATGAACCTAGACAACCCTCAGAGGTGACATTCGACTGCAGCAAAATCAAGAGATGAAGAATCTTCCCTTTGTCCCGAGACCAAAACATGACATGACTCGACCACCAACACACCACAGTTAACAATGCATAAAATTCAAGTTACTAGAGTCGGAGACTAAGCAATCTAGGTCCTCACCCGGATAAATAGTATATAGAAATCAATCACTCACCCTCGACTAGTGGGATAAGGTCAATTCAATGCAAAAGATGTGCATGCTTAAGCTCTCAATCCTAACATCTGTTCACTATGATAGTAGCCTCTAAGACATTTTAAAACACTTGCCCTATACTACACCCTAGTAGAATTTATACTTGGGTTCTAGTCGGGATTTAATTAGTGTAGTTAGGAACAAGTCAGCAAGCATCCATTCAGAGCTTCTTGATCTATCAAAGCAAACAGAGGTTCTAAAGCCAAGATGAATAAGTAAGGGGACAACAGATCCCCCTAACTTACACCCTTTTTAGCACTAAAGAATCCAAATAAAGAATTATAGAGGCTGACAGTGAAAAAACGCGATAGAAAGGCAGGCTCTAATCCACTTTATATACTTGGTATGAAACTGCATCACTTCCATCACCCAAACCAGATAGTCCCACAATTTAAAGAATCAAAAGCTTTTTGCAATTTTTATTTTTTTGTTTAATAATTTTTATTTTAATTAAAATCATTAAAAATTATGGAATTTAAGAATTTTTAAGTTTATTTAAGTTGACTAGAGAGAACCGTTAGTCAACTGTTTAGACCATCCAACATAACGGTCAACTTTTGGGTTTGGCCAATTAAATAGAGTTTAGAATTAGTTCAAACAACGATGTTCTACATTGAAAACAACGATGTTATAGACGAGAATAGTTCGACCCAAACCAGAATATTAACCCTATGGGTGTGCCTATGGTGACATGCATGTCACCGTAACATGGACATTTCGGTCGACCTAATCCTAACAGAGGTCGACCGAATTGACTAATTTGGGCACCCTGAGGACTCATCGCGGTCGGTCTCAAAGATCATATGGTCGACCGTTTGTAGTTTAAGTTGTTATTAATGGTCGACCACAAATAAACCTCGGTCGCCCTTTTCGTTGGCGTCAGAAGCAACATGGTCGACCACAATAAAACCTCGGTCTCCCTTTTTGTTGGCGTTAGAAGCAACATGGTCGACCACTTGATGGAGGTCATTAACAAAATGGTCGACCATTTACAGAAAGAGGCCGACCAGATTGAACAAAAGTGTTGTATCCATTTATCCATCATATTTGACGTAAAATGAAGATCATGTTGGTTTCGTGGTCGACATAATCATGTACTAGGTCGACTGAATATAGGTAAATCAACCTATGCCTTGCGTCCTTTTTTGCTTATTTATGTCTATTTTGGTGGTTATTTTGCTCGTACAAATTATGCTTCAAACCAACAGAATCGGTCATAAATAATGATAACATGGACTCATAACTTCATAATATAACAACTAAACAAATGAACAAGAAATACAATAAAACACAAAATCATAATTGTTCACACATAACTAAAAGCTAAAACCATAGAATAACAATCAACAATCGTTTTTATCACTTAACAATAAAAACACACAATCTAAAATCATCGAGTTCCTACTCCTTTACCCTCTCTCCCTCATCCACATTTTCTTCATTGTTATTGCTAGCATTATGGTGGTCGGATGTGGTGGGATGCATGTATCTTCCACTGAAAGATCAAAACTTATCTTACAACCCATTCACGGTCACCTGCAGTGTGCTCATCTGGGTGGTCATTTGCTCCATGTAGTTGTACATGCCAGTCATCTGGGTGGACATCTGGCCCATGTATTCGTACATGCCATCAATGCGCTCCCACACACGCTCTAAGGTGACCATGGAGTTGAACTATGTGCCTGCGGCATTGGCTCGTCTCCAACTCCTTCATTAGAATCACCATCATCATCCTCATCATCATCACCGCCATGGACACCATGAGCATTGTTTATTTGGACATACTCACCATTACGCAACTCAAAGCCCATCTTTTTCAGAGATGAAATTGTATAGAACTCTTGCCTTGAGATTCTTAAGCCAACCTCACCACTTAAATCCACATTAAAATGCTCAAATAGCAAAGTCAGGATCATCCCATAGGGAAGATTCCTGTTTGAACTCTCTGCAGCAGTAAGCATGTCGTTAAAGATCAAGTATGGCAAGTTCACCTTCTCATCTAACAGTAGGCTGGTGAGGAGCTCCATGTCAAAGTAGGTGACTGTCTCCCAATGTCCACCCTCTGGCAGAATGTTGTAGGAAAGCATGTGGTGAATAACTCTGGCTTGAACTGTCAGCTTGTTACTCTTTGGCCTATTGCAATCCTGAGCATCTTCCCCTTCAGCAAGACCACATACCGTCTGGATTTGCTTGGTTCTCGAGAAACGAGTTTCATTCCAAGCATTGTAAGAATTGATTCTCTTCCCCCAGTTTGGAGTCTCAAGTACTTCTGCCAACACATTCTTGCTGATGCGCTTCTCCATCCCATTCACATAGCTTTGAAATGCATGAATGGATCCATTTGCATTATGTTGATAGACGATGTTGTTGTAGAAGTACTGTACCAGTTTTGGGTAGTATGGTGCATTCAGAGATATTACCTTCAACCGCTCTTGTTCGACAAAGGGTGCTAGAAACCCGTAATTCTCGAAATGAGAATACGCATCCGTCGTCAATGGCCTTCCAGGAGCCACCTTGCGGTTGTGCATTCTCCTCTCTTCATATTTGTCACTTTGCTCCTTGGTCTGGAACGGTGTGGGGTTGAAGTCATCCCAATGAGAATTTGAGGCAGCCCCTTTGTCTGACTTTCTTTTCTTTGTCCCTTGAAACATCCTGAAATCAAACAAGCGATAATTCACGTTAGGCACATTTTTGAAACGAACAAGACTCGGTCGACCTCTCCATAAACAAGTCGACCTATACACTACATGCATAGACAAAACAAAACAATGATAGGTCGACCTCTACACATCATCGGTCAAACTCTGTTTGCAAGCAGAATTAATAACCCCAAACATTTACGTAAATCTACGATACAAAAACTTAAATAGGTCGACCTAAAAAACATCATAGGTCGACCTAATAAAAACCATAGGTCGAACTCAGTAAATCAAACACAAATATGGGTCGAAGAAGGCAAAAATGGGAGTGCAACCATCATAGGTCGACCTCAAAAACAGAATAGGTCGACCTCGGTTTAATAAAAAATGACAATGGATCGACGCAAATGCATAACATTTGGAATGCAAAACATCATAGGTCGACCTCAAGAACCTCACACGTCGATCTCAGTTAATCAAGCACAAAATTTGTCGAAGAAGAAGGCCAAGACTCGTAACATTTGGAGTCAAAAACATCATAGGTCGACCTTAGTTAATCAAGCACAAACTTGGTCGAAGAAGAAGGCCAAGACTCATAAAAAAACATCATAGGTCGACCTCAGTTGATCAAAAACTAGAATAGGTCGAACTTAGAAACATCATAGGTCGACCTCAGTTCATAATGGATCAAAGTAAATGCATAACATTTGGAGTGAAAAATAGAATAGGTCGACCTCAAGAACATCACAGGCCGACCTCAGTTCATAAAAACGAGAATGGATGGAAGCAAACGCGTAACATTTGGAGCGCAAAATGTCATAGATCGACCTCAGCTGATCAAAAACTAGAATAGGTCGACCTTAGAGGCATCTGAGGTCAACCTCAATTCATAAAAAACGAGAATAGATTGAAGCAAACGCCTAATATTTGGAGTGCAAAACATCATAGGTCAACCTCATGAACATCACAAGTCGACCTCAATTCATTAAAAACGAGATTGGTTGAAGCAAACGCGTAACATTTGGAGTGCAAAGCGCCATAAGTCGACCTCAGAAACATCATAGGTCAACCTCAGCTGGTCAAAAACTATAATAGGTCGACCTTAGAGACATCTGAGGTCGACCTCCGTTCATAAAAAATGAGAATGGATCGAAGTAAATGCGTAATATTTGGAGTGCAAAACATCACAGGTCGACCTCAATTCATTAAAAACGAGAATGGATCAAAGCAAACACGTAATATTTGGAGTGCAAAACATCATAGGTTGACCTCAAAAATATCACAGGTCGACCTCAGTTCATAAAAAACGAGAATGGTCGAAGCTAACGTGTAACATCACAGGTCGACCTCGGATCCGGTCGACCACGAAGAAGACTAGGTCGACCGATTCTGGCAAACATAATACATAAATCTCTTGTTTTCATCTTAAGGTTCTTGTAAAAACAATCTAATCTACCAATAAAGAAAAGAAAATTAGAACCAAATGAAGAAAGATTTAAATACCCACGTTATTCTTCTTATTAGTAGATGGAGGTTTTGGTTCTTTCTTATAGGATTTTTGAAATTGGAGAAGAAGAAGGGAAAGGAGAGGAAGATTAGGGGATGAAAGGATAGGGTTCTGGTTGTGGTAGGGAATGAGAGGAGGAGGTTCTTAAATAGGGGATGGAAGGATAAGGTTTGGGTTGATGTTGTCATATGAACCAGTTTGGTCAGCCGAATAGGTAAACGGTCGACCGTGTCTTGTATCAGTCGATTATATTTAATGTATTTGTTTATTTCAACCAACAATCAACTAACTCATAAATTTTGAAGATAATTAGAAAATAAAACACTAACATCTTTTTTGGGGACTTTTTTTGGGCACTTAGGGCAAAAATGACTAAATTCCCCCCATTTCGAACACTTTCTTACGCTTTTTCCCGATGCGCTTCGTGCTGACTTGAATGTCCCCTTGGTTTTCCCAATTTTTGGGTCTTTCACACTTCGAAGAGGTGTTGGAGGGTTTGTAGGTGCAGTTTCACTACCACACGCGATGTCACACAAACGCTTACACTTTAGAGACAATCCTCCATGTCTTATCAGTCGACCAACTTTCTCTCCCACATCACCTCCAACTCCAGGATGATGATATAATGTCTTCGCATTTTGGGTCCATCAAAGCTTGAACCACGTGTAGGGTGATGCTTGATATATACACATGTTTTTGCCCACCATTCTTACACCGTTTGAGTCTTATTTCTCGTGTTTTAGGTCGATTTCACGCTAGGTTGTTCTTGTTTTTGATATTTCAGGTTCTAGTACATGAATGAAGGTTTGGAAATGAGTTTGGGGTCGATTGGACGAAGATTGGACGTTTGGCGAGAAGCTGAGGAAGCCACACGGGCACGCCTAAAAACCTACACGGCCGTGTGACCTAGCCGTGTGACACCAAATTGCACGGGCAATCCACAGTGGCCGTGTAAGGGAACCCATGTGGCCGTGTGGAAATTCCAGGGAACTCACACGGGCAGCCTGGAAATCCACACGGCCGTGTGGTTTTGGCCGTGTAGCATGCCTGAAGTCCACTTATCGAAACGCCGCATTTTGCACACTCACACGGGCAGCTGGGAAAGCCACACGGCCGTGTGGCCTGGCCGTGTGGTCGGGAATTTTGGGTTTTAACCCAAATTCTAGCCAAAGGAGAGGTAATCGACTTTTTTGAGCAAAAACAGAGCCCTAGAGTGAGAAAGTTTGAAGAACACCCCCTAATATTGGTTTTGGAGCAAGGTTTCATCAATCAAGCTTGGAAATCATCCTTGGAGTGAAGATCATCATCCCAGAGCTCATTCTTCCCATCTTGATGAGCATGAGTGCTTTGTTGGCTGTTTTCCTCTCTCTTTCTCTCTCTATGGAGTAGAACCCTCTCTCACTTGGGTATGAAGAACCCTAGTTCCATGTGTTAGGGATCATTGTTGTAATGAATTTTGGATTGTGATATTGCTTGATTATAATCGATTGAAGTGTTTTGAATGAGTCAATTGAAGTCTGATCATCTTTTATTGATTTCCTGCTGCAACCTGAGATAAATAGAATCTGATTAGGTTGTTAGAGCTTCTTCAATCGGTAGTAGTGAATCGATTATACGAGAGTTAGTCGATCCACTGCTTTGTACTGGAATCTAATTCTAGTAGTGGAGTTCTGTGTTCATTGCCTCAGCGTTCTATTCCGGTGAAGACAAGTCGTCTGCCGGGTAGTTTGACTGAGAGGGCTTGGTCAAATTAAGAGATTCCAAGCTACTGTCGGATCTTCCGCAGTATAATCAGCAGTAAAGCAACCAAAAGTAATTACAACTGTGACCTAACTAAAGAGCTAGGGGGACTCATTCCTGAGTGACTCTTCCTTTGCTTTAGAAAACCGAACCATTTCCTGCTTTCTTACTGCTTTTAGTTAAACAATCAATCGACTTAGTTTGCTAGATAACAAATATACACGGAGTAGGCAGTAGATCTAGACCCCGGGTTGATAATTAGAACTTGCCACTTTACTGCATTTCCGGACTGTGATTACGCTTGGTCGCAGTTTGGTGTTGTATTTTACCGTGTCAAGTTTTTGGTGCCGTTGCCGGGGACACTTCTAGGTTATTGGGGAAACATGAAAGTTTGTTACTCTAGCTTTTTCTTTACTGCATTTTCTCTCTTCCACCTGTGTGCCTTCACGGGTTGCTTTTGCTAATTGTGTGCAGGTAGTGCATGACCCGTAGCCAGTCGAGAGATTTACTACCATTAGACCAGGAGCTTGAACGGACCTGTAGGAACTTCAAGCGGGCTCTAAAGGCGCAACTTGCTGCGGAGGAGGCGCTAGCACAGCTGCAAATCACTGACGAAGAAGAGATGGATGACCCACAGAACCATGATGTGGTCTTTCCCGAGGAGCAAACCATGGGATACTACTGGAGCGCCAGAGTCGCGGACATGAGGTTTCCCATTCATCACCCACATGTGCCAACGAATAACTTTGAGGTGAGCACCTCTGTCATCACCATGCTACATGGTTCGGTGGTGTTCCCTAGCAAAGAGGGGGAGTGCCCCGATCACATCTGAGGCGATTCCATGAGCTCATCGATGGAATCAAGATAAATGGGGTCCCAGCCGATGCCATCCAGCTGAGGTACTTCCCATTTACTCTGGAGGGGCAGGCCAAGGAGTGGCAAGACACTCGACCTCCAGGCTCGATCACCACGTTCGCCAACCTGGCGGACAAGTTCCTCACTCACTACCATCCCCAGTCCAAGACGGCGGACCTGCAGAAGCAAATTACCCACTTTGCTCAGGATGAAGATGAGACCATCCGGGATGCTTGGGAGAGATACACCAGTCTCTTCCTCAAGTGTCCCAACCATGGTTTTACTGACGCCTTCAAGGTGGTCGGAGAAATTCTTGGAGCTAGAAGCTGTTCGGAGAAATACGCAGGCTGTGCTGCGGGATATCCAGACCCAGCTTGGGAGTGTTGCCCAGGCTGTAGCTCAGAGGACTCCTGGTACCCTACTCGGTCAGATCGTCCCTCATCCGCAGGACCCAAATGAGCACTGCAAGGCCATTACCACCAGGAGTGGCAAGTTGACTATTGATCCACCTGTTCGAGCACAAGAGAGAGAAACCCCTGCTTCAGCACTTCCAGCTAATGAAGAGGAAATGGAGAAGGAGGTTGAGGTGCCTGCTCCTAAACCGCAACCAGTGGTGGAGTATGTACCCCAGCTTCCCTTTCCTACTCGGTTGCACAAGGACCGACTAGAGACTGAGTTTGCCAAGTTCATGGCAATGCTGAAGCAGGTAAACATAAGCATGGCCTTCGTGGAGGCATTATCGAAGATTCCCAAGTATGCCAAGTTCATGAAGGATCTCCTCACCAACAAGAAGAAGCTTGGGGAGTTGTCAACGGTGATGCTCAACGAGGAGTGTTCTGCCATCCTGCAGAACAAACTACCAAAAAAAGCGAAAAGACCCAGGGAGTTTTACTATCCCTTGCATGATTGGTAGTTTGCATATAGGGAAGTCCTTGGCGTATTTAGGCACTAGCATAAATGTCATGCCATATAAACTATTTAAAAAACTAGGCCTAGGTGAACCCAGTGATACTAGGATGAGCATTCAACTTGCTGATAGATCCATTGTGCATCCTAGGGATGTGGATATGCCATTAATATTGGGTAGACCTTTTCTCGCCATCCCCAAAGCGCTCATTGATGTGAATGATGGGAAATTGATTTTGCGAGCTGGGGTGAACAAATCACCTTCTCTGTTTCTGATAATATGAAACACCCCCAGCTCCATGATGATCTAGACTACTGTGATGTTGTTGCTGATTTTGAGACCGCACTCGCCATCACGAGTGCGGGTACTGAAGATTTCCTCGAGCGTTGTCTTTTGTTAGGGGAACAGGCATCACAGGATGTGCAGTGGAAGAGCAGCTCGTGGAGCTAGATGAGGCTGCTATCGAGGGGCGAGAGATACCATTCAAGCCGATCCCTATCTCGCCCCAGATCGTTACATCGTTGGAGGAGCCGCCAGAGCTGGAGCTTAAGCCCCTCCCCTCTCACCTGGAGTATGCATTTCTCCGGGAGGGGAATAAGCTCCCGGTCATTATCAGCTCGGATCTGACACCCGAGCAGAAGAGCAAGCTGGTGGCTCTGCTGCAGAAGTATGCCCGGGCCATGGCATGGAAGATCACAGATATCAGAGGCATTAGCCCATCCTTCGGCTCCCACAGAATTCTGATGGAGGATGAGGTTAAGCCAGTCAGGCAGCCACAGCGGAGATTGTCTCCCAACTTGGAGGCAGTGGTCCTGGCAGAGATTATGAAGCTCATGGATGCAGGGATCATCGTTGCTATATATGATAGCAAGTGGGTCAGCCCCACTCAGGTGGTCCCGAAGAAAGGGGGGATGACTGTGGTCCCGAATGAGAAGAAAGAGCTGATCCCGATGCGGACCGTGACCAGCTGGAGAGTGTGCATCGATTACCAGCGCCTGAACGACGCCACCAGGAAAGATCATTTTCCCCTACCTTTCATTGATCAGATGCTGGAGAGGTTGGCTGGTCATGAGTTTTATTGCTTCCTGGATGGCATGTCTAGTTATTCCCAAATTCCTATTGCACCAGAGGATCAGGCGAAGACCACATCCACTTGCCCCTTCAGTACGTTTGCTTACCGGAGGATTCCATTCGGGCTATGTAATGCACCGGCGACCTTCCAGAGATGCTTGCTGGCGATCTTCGACCGACTGTTGGAGAGATCATGGAGGTCTTCATGGATGACTCCTCGGTTTATGGAGACTCCTTCACTCATTGTCTCCATAACCTGGAACTCGTTCTGAAGAGGTGCGAGAAACTAATCTGGCACTCAGCTGGGAGAAGTACCATTTTATGGTCCGTGAGGGGATTGTACTCGGGCACAAGATCTCCAAGCAGGGGATTGAGGTAGATCGCGCAAAGATTGAGACGATCAGTAAGCTACCTCCTCCCATTTCTGTGAAGGGGATTCGTAGCTTTCTGGGTCATGCACGCTTCTACCAGCGCTTCATTAAAGATTTCTCGAAGATTGCCCTGCCTCTGACCAAGCTGCTGGAGAAGGATGCACCATTCCAATTCACTCCTGAGCATGGTTCAAAAAGGCACGCTTAATCTTATGCTTAGGCACGCCTAGGCGCAAGGCAACGGCAAAACGCCTTGCCTAGGGGTTTCACGCCTAATTAGATACTGGAACACGTCATGGAGTAAGGCGACATATAAGTCTCTCCTGAACATTACTAGATGGAGCTAGTAAGTCAATATTAAAGGCCAAAATTAACATCAACTACGAAATCAATTTTCTATTGCAATATTTTCAATAACTCAAGAACTTTGTGAGCTATTGAGCTATGATTCTATGAATTCGTGAGCTATGTTCTTGTCATTAAGTGTTGAGTAAGTTATTAATCATTTTAACTGAAGTGAGGAAGTGTTGTAGATAATTATTTCACTCATCATGCAGTGCGAATAGCTATTTTTCTTCCAACGCCTAGGCGAGCTAGGCGCAAGGCAAAGGCTCAACGCCCACCTTACGCCTAGCGCCTTTTTGAACCTTGCTCCTGAGTGCACAGCTGCATTCGAGACACTGAAGGAGAAGCTTACCCATGCACCTATCATGGTGACTCCTGACTGGTCTATTCCTTTTGAGCTGATGTGCGATGCGAGTGACTATGCAGTCAGAGCAGTTCTGGGTCGGAGACGCGAGAAGCACTTTTAGCCCATCTACGACGCGTTGAAGACCTTGAACGATGCACATGAGAATTACACCACCACTAAGAAGGAGCTCCTAGCTGTGGTGTATGCATTTGATAAGTTTCGACCCTATTTGGTGCTCTCCCATGTGGTGGTCTACACTGACCACTCAGCGATTCGCTACCTGATGAGCAAGGGTGATGCAAAGCCTAGACTCATCCGCTGGATCCTGCTTCTGCAGGAATTCGATATAGAGATCCGGGACAAGAAGGGAGCCGAGAATGTTGCTGCAGATCACCTTTCATGGTTGGAAGCCCCTCCGGTGGACAACTTTGAGGAGGAGATCGATGACTCTTTCCTGGGTGAGCGATTGCTGGCGATGACATTGGTGGACAGCGTGGTCCCTTGGTATTCTGACTTTGCCAATTATCTGGTGGGCAAGCAGCTACCAAAAGGGATGGCCACTCATGCAAAGCGCAAGTTCTTCTCCGACCTGAAGCATTACTTCTGGGAGGATCCTTACCTCTTCAAGATTGGAGCAGATGGCGTGATCCGGTGCTGTGTCATGGAGCACGAGATGGGAGACATCCTGTCTCAATGCCATGAGGGACCTACTGGAGGTCACCATGGACGAAACCGCACAGCGTGGAAGGTGCTACAGTCGGGCTTGTAATGGCCCTCGCTCTTCAAGGATGCTGACACCTTTGCACGATAGTAAAGGTATCATAGTCGACCTTAAGCATAGGAGGTCGACCTGTGCTCTGCCTACGGGGTTGACCGCTTTGATTATGTGGTCGACCACTTGTTCAGACGATTGAAATCGTAAATTTCTTGACATCCATAATTGTATAACAAATCTAATATACGAAAAACATTCAATATCCAAAAGGAAACAACCTCACAAATATAAATTCAACGTATTGTCTAATTAATGCAGCATTGTAACTTAATGACTTCATTTCTTTGCTTTTTTGTTTAAACTCTTTCTCTCTTTGCCTCGTTCCATGCATTCATCTACTACATGCTTGAAAAGATTTTCTCATGCACAGTTTTCAAAATGTGTAGCCAGATACCACAGAATCTCCTTTAGGGCCGGTAATTTGTGTTCTTCTCCTATCTGCATTATGGCATATAAGACTTCGTTAGAACTAAAAAAGTACAAATTAAACAAGTTATTTGTTTGATTATATACTAACCACTCTATCCAGATCCTTGGATCCATAGTGCATCCACTGCATGACGTGCACACCACACTCGATACTATTCCTTTGCCTTTGAACGCGTAGCTCTTCGAAATTGAAATCTCCAAAATTTGGTACTGCTACATTGCTCATGTGCTCCAGTTTGAAAATATCATGCAATTTGGACAAAAACACACAAATAACGAATGTTATATGCTTCTAGCATAATACGTGACACTTAGTAGTCAGAAAATTATAGGAAACACTTACCAATTTCTTGCATTTGTTTGATTTACGCTTACGATTCCCCTCACTAGTTGAAGGTAGACTGTCAAGCAAAAATGCTGTTTTTTGCTGGACATTGACGAGATAGAGAAACCAATGACATGCTTCATCGTCCAGAACTGGCATAAATATCTAGCAACGAAACACTCAATATATGTTATAAAAAGCGAATACAAACAAATGCACTTTGCAAGTTGAATGAGATAGAGACATTGACTAACCTTCTTGCATGCACTAACATTCGGCATAAACACCACGCCATCATCCATCAACTTGTTACGAATTTGTTCGGTCTTCATGTTAGCGCGTACCATTTTCTGCACCATATTTTAATTGAGATGAATTGACATGGTACAATATTTATAACTAGATTATGACATATAACAAACATTACAGCAAAAACTTCTTCAAACAATGACTAAAACAGAGAGAGAATGCCCGTCAGCGAGAGAGAGAGACTGCCAGCGAGGAAGAGATCCAGAGAGGGTCAGCGCAAAGGGTGGGACTAACTTTTCGTGTCCGTGTTCTGCTGTTTGTTTCCGCAGGTCTCAGGAATCAGGCTCGTGTGGTGGCGGCGGCCAACGTTTGGAAGAGTGTAAGCTAAAATCATGGTTTGGGTCTAAACTAGTCACAATAGAAAGGAAAGAAGAAGGAAGTGCAACATGGTACAGGATTCAGGTGGATGAAGTGGCAAAAAGTTGGTTCATATTGCTCAGCGTCGATCATCTTTCTTGGCTGCAAGGGGTTCTTCTAACAGCCGCAACGCGTGAATGGAGATTCGATAATGGCTTCGTGAAGAAAGTTGGGTGTCAGGTGATTCATGTGGGCAGGTCCTTTAGCAAGGGAAGAGCCCTTCTCCAAATTTCTGAGTCTTTCAGAAGCGGCAGGGTGTTCAAAGTTCTGATACCGGAGCCGGAGGGAAGATTGGGTTGGGCTTGACTTATTATCATGCTTCAAGACTTCTATAACCTCGAACGCAAGTTTAGGGGTTATCAACGGGGGAACTTGCCACTTCCACCGTTGTTATCGGCTCAGTCGAGATCATAGGATAGATCGTATGCGGAGGTGGTGAAAGACGGGGGATTCTACGGTGTTGGGAGGTGCACTATCAAAGGGTCTGGGAGCAACCGGTTCATCAAAGTTGAGGAAGAGGGTGTCCGTTCAAGGCAGGAATTACTGGGGAGAACACTGGTGATTAAGCTCTCGGCATAAAAACATGTCGCTCAGACGGCTTTCAAAGATGGTGACTTTAGGAGATGGGTCGAGAGAAACTGGGATATAGACACTAACTTTGGATGGATAAGCAGGGGAGCTGGGGAATGGCTAATATTATGCCCTAGTTGGCATCAATCAATGTGCATCAAGAGCTTCAATCGAAGCAGGTTCAGGAATTATATCTTGAGCATATCCCATTGGAAAGAAGAGATGAACATGGGGGATTTATCTGAAACCGAATGGGTGATGGTGGCAGGAATTCCGTATCACCTGCAAAGTATTGAACTAATCAAAAGAATCGGGGAATTTTGTGGGGAGTTGGTGGAAGTGGATTGGCAACACTGGTCGTCGGAGTTCGTCAAAATTCTGATTAAGAGGGTTGGGCCGGTGCCGGACTCTATCCCGATCCTGTTCACCGAAGAAGAATTCAATGTGATCATCGTGCAGTCCCCTGGAAGCTCATCAGTCTCTTCATTGTCCCCTAGAGGGTTTGCGGGAATCCAGATGCCACATCCCACCTCGGCTACTGGTTCAGTGCATGGGAAGAATCACACGCGTGGTTGCATGGAGACTCCCACGGGGAGTGATGATTCGTCGTCTGTCAATTCGAATCCGAACTCAAGGCCCACTTAAAGAAGGCTAAAAGGGAGAACCAAGAAAGTGTGGGTCAGAAAGCATGGGCTAATTTGGTGTAAGCCCATCGTTCCATTCGCGTCGGATAATCGTGAATTGATGATTGAAAAGGATTTGTTGGGTCAGTCCCAATGGCCCAGGCCTTGGCCCATTCCCAGTACCAACTTCCTAGCAATCCCTAATACTACCTGCCAGCTCAGTTTGATTCGTATCACCACCAACCCGATCCCATCCCATTTCGTTTTCCAGTTCCACTTCTCCTGGTTATTCGAAGTCCACCTTGATCTGGTTCCATCCACTACCCATCTTCCTCCCTTTAACCCACATCTGAAACTGCAAATCTCTTTTCTCCCCAATCCTTTCATTGAAACTTTTTTGGAAACCAGTTCCACAAACCTACCCACCATCAACCTTCCATACCCGCCAAGCCCCATTGTTCACAACTCAGTTCCCCTCTTTGCCATACCCTCTTCTTACCAGAACTTTGCCACGCACCAATTGTCATCTAGCCCGCCTCCTACACCTCAGCTAGAATTTCGTGGGTGCCCTACCAGTGAGATGACTACTGAACTCCCTCCTTCGTGCATGCCAGATAGTCAAGAGAAGGAGTGGAGGTTGGACAATTTTCCGTTCAATGTGGATTTGCTGATCGACAGAAGCCGAGAAGTGGGGCGATTGATCAAGCTGGTTCATGAGGATGGAGAGGCGCAAGGAGAACAGATTGTTGTTAGCAAGGCGAGGCTTATGCACCAGAGAGGTGAGACCACCTAGGTCTAAGCTGGAAATGGAACATCGCAGATTGGATCTCGTGGAAACGCCAGTGCAGATGCCTCGAAGGATCAGGAAAAGGAACGGGGAAAGTACAAGTTCTAGGGTCCAATGAATACGTCAATCATAGTGTGGAATATTAGGGGGCTTGGGGATTATGGTAAGTGGTGCAGGATCAAAAGGTTGCTGGCTAGAAGAAATCCTACAATTATGTGCTTTGTTTAAACTAAGTGGAATCAGTGCAGTGATGATCTCATTTTTGAAGTTTGCGGAAGTAGGGACAGAGGATATGCAACGAAGAATGCCACTAATAGTGCAGGGGGTATCGCCATTATCTGGGATAAGAGTTGTTTTCAGGCTGTTTCGTCAAGGATCGGGGAGTACTATCTTCTCATTGATTTCCAGGAGGTTTCCTCCTTGAAATCGTGGTCGTTTGTGGTGGTGTATGGGCCTCAAGATAGGAACGATAAGCTCAATTTTATTCAAGATATTCATGGTTTGTGTCATACCACTAAAACCCCTCTTTGCATAGTTGGAGACTTCAATCTCGTGCGGAGACATGAAGACTACAGAGGGGTCAGATGGAATGTTAATCTTATGGAGGAGTTCAATGAATGTATCGACAAAAATGGTCTTATCGAACTTCCCCTGGGAGGAAGCTTGTTTACCTGGTGTAGAGGGGACGGATCAGAATCTCTCTCCCGGATAGACAGAGCCTTTGTTACCACTGGTTTCGATCATCTTTTCCCTGATTTCACTTTGTCCGCGCTTGAGAGAGTTGAATCGGATCACAATCCGTTGCTTATCAGATGGGGAGTTTGAAGTAGTATTAGGAGACCCTGGAAATTCGAAAATATGTGGTTGCACGACGAGAGGTTCTTCAGGGAGTTGGAGTCTTGGATGTGGAATGATTTAACTGGTAATGGGTTTGCCTTTCGTTGGAGTAAGAGGTTGCAGAACCTTAAAAGCTCTATTAAAGTCTGGAACAGGAATGTTTTTGGAAACATCAACTCTCAGATTGATGCTCTCCTCTCCAAGATAAAGGAGTTGGACTTGGAGGAAGAATCTAGGATTCTGATTAACAATGAGACTATTGCAAGACAAGGGTACAAAGTGGAACTAGGCAGATTGTTATTCCTTCAAGAGGATTCATGGAGGGAGAAGGCTAAAGAACATTTGGATTAAATTTGGTGACGATAACACTAGGTTCTTTCATTTGATGGCGAATTATAAGAAGAAATTCAACCCGATTGAGTGCTTAACCATCAGAGGGGAGAGGTGTAACACCCCGGTATTTTAGATTTAGGTTCGACCTTAATACGTGATCGGTTGGATTGACGGTTACGTACTAAGGGTTACAATCGCAGATTAAGAATAATAATATTATAATATTATTAACATTATATTCTTAAAAAAAGGGAAAGGAGGTGGGGCGGCCCAAGGAGGTGGGCGCCTCCACTCCCCCTGGCAATTAAATCCCCAAAACCGCGGCCTCCTTTAAATCCCCATCCCAAACCCCCTAATAATTCCCCACTCGGTATCACCCACAGAAAACCCTAAACAATCTCCTCTCTATGTACCCTCAAGCAACCGTTCTTCGTGGGACAGGGTTGATTCCCTACTAATGAGATTTGTCGCCTGCTCCTCCAGCAGGATGCTTAAACAAGCAGGTGACGGTGAAGTAATTAGAGGGCGTGGGACAGGTGAATGGAAGAGGACGACGGCAGGTGATGAACCAAGCGAAGGAATTGTGGGGAGGACCTCTTTACTATGAGAGGAGCCTGCTTGTCGGTCTGTCGAGAACGGGACCGTCAAAGGGATCCTGACCTTTCTTTTTTGTTACCAAACCAAACCAGAGACGAGTTCCGCGGACGAGGCCCTCCTTGCTACGAGAGTTGGCAGCTTGACGTATAAAACGAGGATCGAATCATGGCGATCGGAAGGTGGGGTGGCCAAGTAGAGGGTTGTGGAAACGCTCTCTACTACGTTAAGCATCGTCGGAGTTCGTCGGGACTTCGTCGTAGTTCGCCAAAGAAACCAGAAAAATTAAATCCAACTATTCGTCGATTGGTGGGTATCACTGGTACCTGGTACTTTTAAACTGCCAGAATGTTTATTTGGTCATAACTCGATCAATTGACGTTCGATCGAGGAACCGTCGACACCTATGGAATCGTGGGAACGAGGAGAATTTAATGGAAGCGAGTCATGGAATATTTAGAGAGGAGTCAGAGTCATTTTCGAGGAATTTGAGGTGAGTGTAAAGGGGGTAAAATCTCTGTCGTAGGTCTTATAATTTTCGCTTTTCGTTCAAGTTATTATTTTGTTAAATTTTCTAGTATGCGCGATATGTGTGTGAACCGCCTGTAAGGGTGGAGGCACGCGTTGTGCTATTTATGAATGTATGTATGTTTGTATGGTTGATGGTATGAGGAACCCCCGGGCGGTTGGGTCACTACTGGACGGCGAGACGTAACGCAGTAGTTGACGAGCATGGACTGGACGGCGAGACGTAACGCAGTGCCATTGCCAAGTTTGGGTATGCAACCGGATGGCGAGACGTAACGCGGTTGGCATACTAGGGTAGGACACCGGACGACGAGACGTAACGCGGTGGTCCTAGTGTTTTGTGTTGGAGTTAAGGATAAAAGTTGAGAACCTCTATGAGTTAAAGTTGAAAGGAGTTATTAAGAACCTAAGTAAGGGAATTCTAAATAAGACAGGAGTAGAGATCTCTTATATACTGTTTGATAGTAAAGTTTAAAGGATGAAAGTGAGAACGACTTTCGTCTAAGGAAGGCTTTCCCCTAATAATGTGTTTAGTAAGGAGTTTGCCTAGGGCAAAGACCTTAGGAAGTAACGACGAGACTGACCACTTCTCACTCACCAGGTCGAGGAAGGGTTAGCAGAAGTGGATCACGAGAGGAAGCAGGGCGAGGCGAGCAGCTGCACCAGCATTGATGAGAAGTCAAGGAAATCGTGAAGAGTCAGAGTTATAATAGTTTAATTTCCTTGTTACATGGTTAGGAGTGTAAACTGGAGATCCTGGGTTCTTTCATTTTTAGTATTGGGATTGTCATTTGCCCAAGTGTTCAGTATTTTTGTTTGAAATTCTAAAACATCGTCAGTTTGTTTATTCTAAAATGTGGTTTGGGTTGCTCCGGAGTAACCGATTTTCGGTTTGTGTTGTGGTTTGGTTTTCAAAAGGATCGGGTCGTGTCAAGAGGATTGAAAGAAGGGAAGAGTTGGCCAAAGGTGTGGTTGATTACTACACCAGCTTCTTTGAAGAATCAGTGGAGAGGAGACCCTTTCCTGAAGATTATGCGGTAACCAGGGTGAGTGACATGGAAGGGCTTTCTCTCACGCAGAATTTCTCAGAACAGGAAGTATCGTATTCAGGATTGTGATGGGTGGAAAGCTCTAGGGCCGGATGGGTTCACTTGGGACTTTTACAAGAAGTGTTGGCCGATCATTCGTACGAAGGTTCTGAACGCTATTTCTGAATTTCACAGATCATGTACCCTTCCTAAGTGTGTTACACACTCATTCTTATGCCTTATGCCTAAACGTGACGTCGTGGAGGATATCAAAGATCTGAGGCCTATTAGCTTAATGGGGAGTTTGAATAAACTTATCAGCAAAATCCTTGCTCATCGGCTAAGTGCAGTTCTTCCTAAGCTTATTTCCCCTTCCCAGCAGGCCTCTGTTCGTGGTAGACAAATATCGGAGGCTGGGCTTATTGCCTTTGAACTCCTTGACAGCATAAGGAACAACAGAAGACCCGGCCTAATGTTTAAACTCGACATTGAACGTGCTTTTGACAATGTGAGCTGGAGCTGTCTTTTCAAAGTGATGGAATCTTTGGGGTTCCCTAAGAAATGGTGCGACTGGATTCGTGGAACTATGTGTTCTCCGGTGATATCGACGATTATTAATGGTGAGGCTAAGGGGTTCTTCAAGACAGGTAAGGGTCTTCGGCAAGGCGACCCACTACCAGGCGTGTTCACTATGATTATGGAGCTGCTCTCTTACTTGTTGAACATATTGAAGGAGGAAGGTAAAATCAGGGGGTTTTGTATGAATGAGACGAATGGGTCTGGAGAAGTAACTCATCAGTTGTTTGCGGATGATACGTTAATTATCTGTGAGGCTTCTTATGACCAAGTTTTGTACATTCTGGCTGCTTTGGTCCATTTTCAAGCTATCACTGGCCTGAAGATTAATCTGGAGAAACCAATAATGATTCCGGTCGGGGATATCCCCAACCCGGACTTCTTTGCTGCTCTGTTCGGTTGCAATTGGAGCAGGGATGTCTCGAAATACCTTGGATTTCCTCTAGGGTCTAAGGTCAACTCTTCTGCAATCTGGGAACCAATTATTGAAAAGTTTGAGAGGTCGTTACCTATCTTTGGGAGGTCTTTTGGTACTTAATAACGTCGTTCTCTCCAGCCAACCTGTTTACTACTTCTCTTTATTTCAAGCTCCGAGAGGAACTATTCAGAAATTGGAAATAATCCAGAAGAGATTCCTATGGAGCGGGGCTGGTGATGATCGCAGGATCCCTCTTTTTAAATGGCAGTTGTGCAAGGCACTGAAGGAGAAGGTGGGTTGGGTGTTAAGGACCTACTCTGCTTTAACAAGGCTATGTTAGGAAAATGGCTGTGGAAGTACGCGAGTGACAGTAACAGCTGGTGGAGGAAGTTGATATCGACGAAATATCCAGCGGATTCAGAATGGCAAAGCAGAAGGTGTAGGGGTGGATATGGAAGTTCGTTATGGGCTAACATTACAAAAGAGTACGACACTTTTTGGAAGGTCTGCCATATTGATCCGAGCAGCGAAGCTTGGGTTTCTTTCTGGAAAGATTGCTGGATCCCGAACAAGATCTTAGAGGAAGCGTTTCCAAGAGTTGCCGCTGCCGCCGCCATGCCGGAAGCCTGGGTGTCTGAGCTTGCCAACAACACAGGTACGGGTACTGATTGGAATTTAAACTTCAATGTTAGTTTGAGAGGGGGGCTGAGAGAGAGAGGATAGAATTCTTTAATGTTATTAATTCAACTTTTTCTAATCAAGTTCTTAGTGGCCCTAGTAGGGTGGTCTGGACCCCAAAACCAGAGTTGTCTTTTTCTGCTCGACTTTTGTACAGGCACCTCATTAATAGCAGGTTCCCTGGCATGGAGCAGTTCCCAGATGAATCTGTTTGGAGGATGTTTGTCCCTCACAAGATTCGTGCGTTCATGTGGACGGTGGCCCATAAGAAGATCCTCACTTTGGATAATCTGCAGAGACGAAGGTGGACTCTGGCCAACCGGTGTTGTTTGTCCTTCAAAGCTGAAGAATCCATAAACCATATATTTATTGAGTGTGTCTTCGCCAAGGAAATTTGGGAGGCTGTTAGGAGGGTTTGCAACAACATCTCGATTTCCTCGGGTGACATCCTAAGCACTATTAGACGATGGAGGTGTGACTATCCGGATACCCACATTGATTGGATTGCATACGGGGCGCTTCACATGATCTGCTGGCAGGTTTGGATCGAAAGGAACCAGCGGACGTTTAGAGATCAGAGCCAAGAGTCGGTTGCTGTTTACCGGAAGTCCATTTGTTGGATTGTCGAGTGCTGTGTTGCGTTCGGTAAAGTCAGCAAGGAACAGGGAAAGGAGTGGTTGGGGAACAATAACATTCAGAGTGCTTAGTTCTGTGGGATTTTCGTGACCCTGCTCCAATTTTTATTGCTGAGTGCTTGCGATTGAAGGGAGTTAGGGCTGCTGTTGCTTGCTACTATTGATGTTTGCTGGGGCTTGAAGGGATGAATGGTTGCTGCTGCTTTCTCCTTTGGCTGCTGGTTTGTTGGGATTCAGGTCAGGGGCTGCTTGGTTAGCCTAGACGGGGGGTGGGTTGTGTTCTTGGCTTCTGGTGGTGTTGGGCGAAGCTTCTGTTGGGTTTCATTCTTTTGCTCTTTTTCTTTTCTCTATTCTATTTTGTGTATTTCCATCTTTCGGTTTTTTTTGTTGGGTGTTGTCTGCACCTCTTGTGCAGCTTGAACTTTGATGGGTTTTTAATTCCTTTTAATAATATCTCTCTCACCATTATAAAAAAAAAACAAACATTACGGCTCTTAGCGAAAACATATTGGCAAATACCACACATTTGGCTCTTTCACATCATGTTTTTCAGACATTGTTAGTGCCCTTGCACACAAATTCACTACCTGCCAACCAACAATAAACCAAAAAATCCTCGTAAATCGTAACATAAATAGTGCACAATTCATACGAAAGTTGTAGCAATATAGTACTTACGGATGAGCAAATCCAGCTAATCTCGCTAATGACCGAACTCAAATAATTTCGTTGCACGTTTTCAAAAAAAAAGTCAACAACGGTCAAACTACAAAAATCAAAATAACAGAAATGTCAATTGTGATTTGCAACGTAAAGGTCGACCTATTCACAGTCAATGTCGACCTTATTGGCTAAACGGTCGACCTCATGTACTAAACGGTCGACCACATGTACTACTTAAAAAAACGTCTCTTACTTGTCCCAATTCGTGTCTCCAGCCTTCTCTTTAGTAACAACATAATACAAGTATTCAAGTGGATTTTGCAGATTTTTGGTAAATCCTTCTAGGCCCTCCACTTTCATGACCTACAAATCATAGTTAAAATTAAAGTAACATATGAACAAATCACACATTATAGATGAATATATAACATAAACTTACTCTGTGCTTTTCGAAAGGACTCTTAGATTCATCTTCGTCGCTATCAGCACTAAATAATCCTTTTCTTACAAAATGATCCTTCTGTGGAGTGGTGTAGGTAGGGGTGTACATGGGTCGGGTGGTTCGGATTTAACCATTTTAATCACCCGACTCATGCACTACAGTTTGAAAAATATTAAACCCAAACCCACCCAAAAAAAATTAAACCCTACGGTTTTTTTGTAATTGGGTTGGGTCGGGTTGGCGATATTTTTAAGTAAAAACCCAACCCAACACAAAATATGTAATTATTCTACAACATAAAATATATTTTATAAATAACTAAATTTCAAATGAATAAACCAAGGTGAAAGGCATCAAATTTCACAAATGTTGTTTCATTTTTAATAAAATGTGATTTACTTCAACATATGTCTAATTTTTTTCACGATCTTTGTTAAAATAGGCTAAAAAGGTTATAAACAAATGCACCCATAATATGTTATTCTATTAAAATTGTACACAAGAAAAAGGATTACGTGAATCATAGCTATATTAAATTTATGTCTAAACTTTAAACCTAAGAATGCATTAAATTAGGGAGACCATGAGAGAAAAACATGGTGAAATATCTTAATTTTAGCATAATTATAAATGACATAAATATTTTTGGATACGAACTCCTACCAATAGTTGGAACACGGGTTGGGTCGGGTTCTACGGGTTGTGTAATCCAAAATCCAAACCCAACCCAATAGAGGCGGGTTGTACAAAAGAAAACCCTCACCCAACCCGAAACCTTTGTTTTAGCAATAAATACGGGTGGGTTGGGTCGGGTTGGACGGGTGGGTCGGTTTACGGGTGTGTTTGTTCACCCCTAGGTGTAGGAGTCACTTTCATATCGAGGTCTCTTGTACTTTGGAGAGGAACCCTTGTTGCCAAATGTTGTTTCACTCTGTCAAACATATAAACAAAACAAATTAGCACTAATGATAGTTATACTAATATCTTCACGCACATATGAATATACTTGTCTACCTTTAACTTGTGCTCTTTCAATAAATCGTCTATGCTCTGGTAGCAATTTGCAGAGTTATCATGGTCTTCCTCCTCTTTATCAAAGTCAAATTTCTTTCTTGTACCATCTCTTCCTCCATTCTCCATTCGTTCTGCACTTTTTTCTTTTATAGCACCTTCTATCCTCTCAAAACCATCATGCATCATCCCAGTCATATCTGTTAAAAGAACTGACAATTGCTCCACTGTATCACGAATGGACTTCTGATATTCATTGACTTGTTTTTGACACACAACCAGCTGCTCTTGTGGCTTTCACCACTTTCATGATTTTACCTAAATCGTCATGCAGTCTCTCATCATGCGCCATCGTCTAAACAATTTAAAAAAATTCAAATCATAATTCAACTTCATTTTTCTACAATTGACCAAAAATAGAGACGTGGCCGACCTGACATATTATTAGGTCGACCTTGAAGACAATTTGTCACTACCAGAACCTTTAAGATCGACCTTTGCTCTTCCTAGGCCGACTTATCCAGCAGGAATATACCAATTTACCAACAAAAGAAAGTGTAATATTACCACGAACAACGGATAGGTCGACCAGACAGCTTGAGCGGCCCACCTCTTAAGCACAACATAGTCTTATAAACCAAGCCAAAGTCGACATTCAGGATGAACAACCAAAACAAACAGGAACGGTCGACCTTGAACAACATTAGGCCGACCTATTGGGTTGATCTTCCTTACCTCGCAAGTACAGAAGTCCGAGTGTTGTGCCATAAATTCAATTTCGAACAATTGTCAAGTAGAGGTCGACCTGATTGAGATGAGGGTCGACCAAATGGTATTCTGCACGCAACAATAAATCAAATTAGACGGTGGATAGGTCTATAAGAGATCTCTACTCCTATCTTATCTTTAGAATTTCCTTACTTATATTCTTAATCAAAAGACACCAACAATGGGGACCACCGCGTTACGTCTCGCCGTCCGGTGTCCCTACCCTAGTATGCCAACCACGTTACGTCTCGCCGTCCGGTTGCATACCCAAACTCGCAATGGCACTGCGTTACGTCTCGCCGTCCAGTCCATGCATGTCAACTACTGCGTTACGTCTCGTCGTCCAGTAGTGACCCCAACAAACATGATCCACTGCTGCATTACATCTCGTCGTCCAACAGTGACCCGAACAAACACGATCCACTACAGCGTTACGTTACGTCTCGCCGTCCAGCAGTGAGCCGACCATCTACCTCGTCCAGTAGTGGCCAACCGTCTGGGGGTTCCTCATACCATTAAATCCATACAACATCACATACATTCATACAGCACAACGCGTGCCTCCACCCTTACAGGCGGTGGAATGCCTCACACACATATCGCGCATTACTCAAAAATTAACTAATTAATAACTTGAACGAAAGCATAAACTAAAAGACCTACGACAGAGATTTTACCCCCTTTACACTCACCTCGAAAAGATGAATCCTCAATTCCTTCTTCGACGAAAACCCTCCTTAGCCGGATTATCTTGGGGAAACCTCTAGAAGGTGCCTAGGCCAAGGTTGGACGACCCGGGACGTTGATCTCTTCGTTGATCGTACCCTCAAACGTCACAGCTAGAAACACGAAAGGGATGGAATCGGGGTCGGGAACAGGGGGCGGGGACCCTCTTCTTCTCCTTATTCCGATCGGCTCTAAAACTAGTGTCGCAACTGGAGAGGCCTAGGATTTTTATTAAAGGGGGAGAGGGTTTGGGCGCCCCACTCTGATTTTGTTTGTTTTTTTTATTAATAATATAAAGTGGGAGAGGGTTTGGCGGCCCCACTCTGATTTTGTTTTTTATTAATAATATAATAATAATAGTTATTGTTATTATTCTTAATCCGCGGTTGTATTTCTTCGTACGTAACTGTTAAACTAAACACTCATTTAATATGGTCGAACCCAAATCTAAAATACTGGGGTGTTACAGAAATTACGCATGACAAGATGACGTCGAATGCTACATTAGGTCGACCTCACCTTCGACGAGGTCGTCCACTTTCAACATGCAGAACAACAATTGCGAATGATCTTCTTCACAAAACTCTAACCGTAAAAAAAAACCTAATTCAGAGTTTTGGTGGTGGTGAAGGTGACATATATTCGTATTTATAGATATTTAGGATGTGAATGAGTCAAATTAAGTGGTAGATAAGTTAGGGTTACCTTTCTGGTGTTGGCCTATTAGGTATTTGGGTTGACCTTTCATTCTGTTCGCTTCCCAAAAAGGTCAACCATTTGCTATGAACGATCAACCGCGTCGTTGAACCTCACAAAACAGAAACAACATGTTCGGTCGACCTAATCCTATATTAGGTAGACCGAAAAGTTCATGTTAGGGGGACATGCATGTCACCGTAGCAAAGTTCTAACCCTATATTTTACCGTTAGTAATTTTAAAACGATGTTTATCGATTCCCTCCTTGACCCTGGCTAGTTGCCTCCTTTCCTTTTCTCTTGCTCCATTACTCTTATGTCTTATCATTATTCTATTTAGTCATTCATTACTGTATCTGTCTGTAATCACTCACCATCAACCACCCAACAAGAAACCAGAAATTTGACTCTCGCTCGCTTACAGAGCCTCGGCTGCTGAAACTGCCCTGACCCAGTCCTCAAAACCACAAAGCAAAACCGTTTTTCTCCAACCTCCATTCTCCCCTCTACCATTCTGGGCGTCTTTTTTTGTTGTAATTTTGTGGAGGTACGTTTCCTTTTCCTGTACGATCTTTCTTTTCACGGAGTTCATTATTTCATCCTTGAATTCTGCCAACTGACATTCTGTGAATCCTGCTTCTTTGACATCGAAGTGTTTTGATTGTTGTCCTCTGTTAGTTTGGAGACTGTTTGGGTGGCTTCTATTTCTCTGTATCCGGTTCTGCTAGTCATCAAGTTGTACAATCTGCTTTGTTTTTTTGCTTTCGGATGGCAGATATGGGAAAGAAGAAGGTGATGGTTCCTCTTGAACAAATCGATTTGACGACTGTGAAGTACGAGCCTCAAGTTGTACAAGGTTGCCATTTTCAATCTTCAATGTTCAATATAATACGACCAAGTGCAATGCAGGAATGGTACTGATCATTGTTTGAATTAAAAATGGATGGACAGCTCCACATTTGACGGGGAATGTGTTTAGGTTCTTCATAAAGCTACTGGAGTCTCCGCTTATTGGTCCATTGGTCATATCTCACTTGAAGAAGGAGAACAAGATGATTGAGGTTACCCCCAATCTTCTCAACTTCTTTGCTTTTTCCCCTTCTTTTCTTTGTAGCTGAGTCATGATCAGGATCATAATCCACTAACAAAACATATAATGTTGGTTATCAGATGTTGCGATGTACTGAGGTACCAGAACCGCCCATGTTCGTACCAGAATTTCCCCCTCAAGGTCCCTTAATATACTTTTTTTTTCTCTTATAAGTGGGTTTTTACATTGATTACTATCTTGCAATAGAACCTGGTGATTTAAGATGTTTCAAATTGTGGGTATTAATCTTCGGACTATGCTGCAAGTTCTTGTCTCGTGTGTATTCATTCGTTCATGCACGCTCTTAAGCAGTCACATGCATCTACAAACATCTCCAACTAATCCGGATTACATAAAGACACACTTTTCAGATTTCTTGTCCAAGTTTTCTTCCTCTCCTGGTCCTGTATGTTGCTAATTGTAAAATAATCAGAAAGAACATTTTTTAATTTTGCATTAGGGCTGGGGGAGACTGTTTACTTCAATCTTGTTCCATATTTCTCACTTAAAGATAGGTTTAGAAAAATATAGAGGTTGAATGTTGATCAAATAAATCAGACTCTCCAAATATTTACAAATTCGATTGTAATCCAAGTACAGGGCCAGAGAGTTGTGTTCTTCTCTTGGAGGAAGATGGAAAACCAGAAGAACGAGTTGAGTCAGCTTTGAAATCTCTTCCTCGCTATGATCCTGCAACCTGTTGGAATGCAGACTCAACTACACCATTTAGGCACTGGAAGATTCGTGATTACGCGCATGCTTATCGTTCCAAGCTAATAACCCCTTCTGTTGTGAGTTAGAATAGCTTTCAGACGTTTAGTTTCATTGCTTAGCCAATACTACCACAGAGAAGATCTGACTTTTCTATCTTATAGGCTGCAGAACATGTCATCACAGCTATAGAGGAGGCGGCTAAAAGTGAACCCCATCAACCATTATTGATTTCCTTTGATGCTGATGAAGTTAGAAAACAAGCTGCAACTTCCACACAAAGGTTTGAGGAAGGTACTGTAGATAGTATTCAATGAGCTATATTACTGTTGTCTATGTACAGGTGCTTTGTTATATCTCATAGGATTGTCTCTTTGCAATCGGGTCTTCTTGTATAGGAAATCCTATATCCATCTTGGATGGCATCTTCATTGCAATTAAGGATGACATAGATTGCTATCCATACCCCACTAATGGTACATATTGCCTCTTTCTTTACTCCATAGGAACTGACAAACAGTATTGCTGGTTAACCGATTAACAATTTCCAATGATACTTGGCAGGTGGAACAACTTGGTTGCACAAGGTTCGTTCTGTGAAAAGGGATGCAGTCTGTGTTTCTAGGTTGCGTAACTGTGGTGCAATACTTGTGGGGAAGGCAAATATGCATGAACTAGGAATGGGAACAACTGGAAACAATTCAAATTATGGGTTAGTTCAATTGCCCAGTTGCAGTTTCTGTTCCTTTTATGCACTGAGTTTAGACTGGATCCTAGTTGCCCAACTCACCCTGTAAGTTATGGAGCTCGTTTATGCATTGAGCTCTTTTCACTGAACAACTATATTGATTTTCAGAACTGTGAGAAACCCCCATGCTCCAGATAGGTACACAGGTGGATCGTCGTCAGGTCCTGCTGCAATTGTGGCTTCTGGAATATGCGCTGCTGCTTTGGGATCTGATGGAGGAGGTTGTGCTGATATTTTTTTTTCATATATATCATGGTCCGACTTTCCACTGTGAATCTTCTGAATATTAAATTCATGTTCAAATTTTATTGAGCCAGGCTCGGTGAGGATCCCTTCTTCCCTCTGTGGGGTAGTAGGCTTGAAAACAACACATGGACGGACGGATATGGGAGGGTATATGACTTTGGACTGCTGTCTTATTGTCTTATAAATGTCTCAGCTTTATGATTTTGTTTCTCGGTAACCATTTGTTTGTTAATGGAGATAGAAAGTTGATGCGATAGGGTTGTTCACACCATACCATAGGGTCAACAATCACCCTTATAAAAAAATAATAGTGTTGTGTCAATTGGCCTCAAAAGTTTGGGAGTTCAGTCTTGATTCATATTTGACTTACACTTCTTGTGCTATCTCATGCAGTTCAATTTGTGATGGTGGTGGTGTTACAATTCTTGGACCAATTACGTCTTGTGTTGAGGATTCCGTCATAGTGTGAGTATTTCAGCTAGCTAGTGGATATATTGCAATGCTTGCAAATTGAACCACAGGCTTTAATAGAAGTTTGTACTTCAGGATTATGCATTTCCAATTCATTAGTGCTGTGGTGTTATAAACTATGAGTAATGCTTTCACTTTGAAAGCACTAAAATATTTGTAACCTTGGGTCTTCTATGAATTACTGGTTAGGTACTTTAAATTGATTATTTGTGCATGCATGCATGTATAGGAACAAAGATATTACTAAAAAATAAGATAAGCATCTAGGTAGTTACAATAATTAGTTTTCTTTTCTTTACGTTGCTATTTGTGGAATCTCCATGAATGAATTGACATTGAACTGAAACAAGCTTGAAAAAAACTGATTTATCTGCATTATGCTGATTATCAGTTATGCGGCAATATTGGGATCCTCTGTTTCAGACAGAATCACCGTCAGACCTGTAAGTTTCGGAGAACTCATTTTATGTGCCCAAAGCTGCAACTGGTAATTTGTGTTTCCTTCCATAGCAGTGAATTGAGGCTGCAGTCGTTACTAAACCAATATATATATATATATGTATTGATCGTCAAATGCTGAGGAACTAGAACAGAAATGCATCTTTTGACTCTTCTATTAGAGTTTGATTAGATCCGCAAGAGCTTCCCCATTTCAGCAGTCAGAAATCAACTCAAACACTGTATTCAAGAGTAATTATAATATATTGACAACTTGACATAAGCAAGCTGGTACATATCAAAGTTGAAGTTCCATATGAGGTTCTTCTGTAAAAGATCTCTTCTTGAAGCTCTTTTAGGGCCAGAAAAGCTCTAAATCTAGCTATTTATTAGGTTACCTGCTAATCTTGGATATTAGGCTTATCAAAACTTTCCTTGCTCATACTAGCCCTAAAAATGGTTTTGATGCCTTTGAGACTTTTGGTAATTATACCAAATTTCTTATTTTTTATTTTTGCCTTAAGATAGTTTCAGCCCTTCATATTTCATGTTGCATCTTAGTCATGTGATGGTGCTTATGCTTTTTGCAGGCCCCACCTTGTTTGCCAGATTTATCATCCCATGAAGCTATAGGTGCTCTGGGGTCAATGCGTTTAGGAAAATACACAGCGGTGATTAGAAACTTCTTTATCTTTTTATAAGTGTTTAAAACAAGCAATCAACCCAGTTACATTTTTAAGAGTAATGCTATTAATTGCAGTGGTTTAATGATGTGCATTCAACTGATGTCTCTGACAAGTGTGAGGATGTTCTTAATCTTCTGTCAAGAACACATGGGTGTGAGGTACGTTCATTCCCCCCAATGTATCTCTTCTTACTCCCAAGAAAATAGCATTGTGTTGTGCCACAACTTAATGGTGCTAATATGGATAAAGGTGGTGGAGATTGTTATACCTGAGTTGGAGGAGATGCGCACCGCTCATATTGTGTCTATAGGAGCTGATTTCCAATCTTCATTAGCAGCTGATATTGAGGATGGGTATGGCTTCTCTTGCGTTCTGTGTGGAATAGATCGAGTTTCCTTGATCTGAATGGTTACAAGTATATAACTAGTCTGTCCAGCTTTGTAAGTCGTATTAACCTGTGCATTCATTCATATGTGTTGTGTATTATCCTTGCAGGAAAGGGAAGTTGTTGACATATGATAGCAGGACTAATGTTGCACTATTTCAATCATTTAGTGCCTCTGATTATATTACTTCCCAGCGACTGAGGTGAGGTGTTAATGGATAACCTGTCTATTGCATTCATCCGAGGAATTCACATTTAGGAGGTTCTTGCATTGAATTAGTGTCAAAAAGTGTAGATGAATTCATATCCTGGTGAATACTGATCCAATTTGCAGACGGAGATCAATGCACCATTACTTGGAGGCTTTCAAAAAGGTTGACGTGATAGTGACCCCAACAACTGGGTGCGTGTAAATGTTTTCCTCTTTCGTCTTTGTGGTCTTTCTTACTGTCAATCCTTGAAATTTGTTGTCATAGAGGGTGACCATGTGCTCCTTTCTGGACTAGGAAAAGCTTGTTTATTTAACTCCTATCTCTTGTGTTCCTTCTCCTTTTGCCAAAACAGCATGACAGCTCCCGTGATACCTCCTAGTGCTCTTAAATATGGGGAAACAAATATGCAGGTCACAGGTTTGTCCATTAACACGCCAGTCAAAAACCTTTCTCTCTGTCTATAAATATTTGGAATGAGTTAATGAACAAAATGGCCCCTCAACTGTGAGTTTGCCCAAACCAAAGCCCCAACAAAAATGTTCCCCAAATATGTTCTTCAACTTCAATTTTTTCCTTCAGTTTCCAGGAACTGGTTTACCTTTTCTGTGTTTTTGTATCTTAAACAATGGTTCTAGTCTTCCTGCTTCGACTGATGCATTCGTTCTTTTGTCCAGCTTATCTCATGCGGTTTGTTATAGGCCCAAATCTTCTCGGTTTCCCTGCAATTTCTGTTCCGGTAAGTTGAGTGGGTCTTCCCTTCATTGAACTCTGGGAAGGTGGACTCAAGCATATCTGTCTCATCTTTTGACTTTCATTTCTCCATTTTCTTCACTTATGTTAGGATATTGACCATTGAGAACGGAACTTTCAGCTTGCTGAACATGTTCGGTATGTTAATCATGGCATTGTCTGACAAGAGACTTAAGCCTGTTTCGTTTGCCGTGCTTTTTGGTTTCTCCATGTTTTCAGGTTGGTTATGATAAACAAGGGCTTCCCATAGGGTTGCAGCTGATTGGACGTCCATGGGCTGAAGCAACTATCCTGCACTTAGCTTTTGCAATAGAGGTAAAACGACACTTATCCACGCTTCCCCTTAATAAGAAAACAAAGGCCTAAGCTTATTGTGTTGTTCTCTGTCGTTGCAGCAACTATTTGCAGAGAACAAGAAGCCAGTCCTGTTTTGCGATGTTTTGAAGCCGAATTGAGATTTTTTAAGAAGGCCAAAAAGACTATTGTGGCTAAAAATGTTGAAAGATGGTTGTTTACCAATTTCAAGGCATCAAATTTGTGAGGAAACTCAACATGTATTATTGTTTTACAAATAAACCTACCCTGTCTGGAAAGCCTATGATTTTGGGGCTTGGCGGGCATGGGCAGCGCGTTATACAAGCACCTACTTACTGTGTGCAAAAGGGAGATGATTCAGTCAAATTGCATTTCATGCTTCTGATTAGAAGCAAGGATAGTAACAAGATAATGTACCTGATTGTGAAACAGCTTATCAGAAAGTGGTTCAGTTATAAAAATAAGAAACATTCCCAGATACAGCCCCTCCTAGTCCCGCCAAGTTGGGTGGCTAGTTGAATACATTAACTAGTTGCTTGCAAAACAGTTGCAAATCCCATCTTTTGATCACAGCATCCAAGAATTTGTTTCTGCACATTATCAGGAACCTGGATCGCTAGGGAGATCAGGGCCACTGGGAATCTTTCCGGGATAGTTGGTTGTTGAGGAGTCTGATCCCATCATACTGGTCCGAACACAATAAAAGAAAGAAATTTGAGAATAAAGTAAGAAAATACATAGCAAGGCAACACTGGAAAATCTAATAAAAAGATAATCAGTCCTTCTCACCCTCTGTCCACGATGACCATCGAACGCAATTCACAATTTGAAAAGCTGCAGGTTCAAAGCAAGGGCATGGTCATCGTAGAAGCACAACATAAAAACATCACATGTAAAGCAACGAGGTTGTGCACCACAAAACAAGATGGGCTATAGTCCATAGCGGTAACGCATGCGATGTTCTGAGGTATATTGATGACTTACTAGATTTCATAATGTAATGCTGAAAGCGCGTAAAGTGAATATCTTACAGCTAAACCGAAAGCCATCAGCAAGCAACACTCACCGCTTGCATATTTCCTTTTTAACCAATGGATGACAGTCACTCCCAAACGCATTCAAGGTATGGAACAAAAATCCACTATGGGTAACTATTGCTATCTCCTTCTCAGTTCTTGTCCATAACCTGTGTCAACAGCAGGTCCAAAACTAGGTCACAATAGCAGCATGTGAAACAGAAAAATGAAAATAGAGAAGGCACAGCTTCTTGAATAGGAAAGTGATGAACAGCAAGAGAAACCCCAATCAGTCTACACTCATAGTTCCTCGCAACGAAAAGCCCAAAAAAGGGGTACATCTTAGGAGTTTACCTTATATGTGCATCAAGAATAAACAACAAAGAATGGTATCTGAATATGCAAAGTGCTAACCATTTCAAGAACTTTAGTCCTCTGGCTGCAAGTTCTTCGGTCGTCTCTCTCACGTCAGCTTTCCATACAGTGTCTTCATCTGTTTCAATCTGTAGGAATTACAGATCACTAACGGACTCTAAGAATATGTATCCATGTAATTTGCTAAATTCAGCCACTTAAAAGTAAAAAGGCAAACTAGTTTCATAATTATTCTAATAGAGTAGAATCTCTTGACTTGCCAATGAAAAATCAATTGCAGGAAAGAGAAACTGATAGTCACTGATGCTTCTCCTCTGATCGCAAGGATGCACACCCTGGAACCAACAAGCACAAAAGCAAAGCATTAGGTTTCATATAGGTGGGTTTGACGTTAAGAACCCAACACATAGTCCTTGACAAACCAAGCAGCCAAAATTCATAGCTCACAGGCAGAAGCATTTTTCAACTATTTAGATGCCATTTTATCTGTAGTGCCAAAATTTAGATTCCCTAGGTTTATAGCCCGACTACACAGAATCAAGGACATGATGCAGTTCAAGAATGGACGTGACATGAAGAACCTGTTGCTGGAGAAAAAAAAAAGATATTATGAAGGTCATACAAAATGTTCACGACATAGCTCTGCTGCAATGATTGGAGGGGAATTGAAACTTGAAATAGCACCACGACCACTGTTTCCAGCATTTGCCACCATAAGAGGTAACCCATCTACCCTATCTGTGTAGCTGCCACCACCAAAAACTCCAACAGCTGTTTGTAATGTCCTGCAAATCACAGCAATCAGAAATAGTAAGTTGTTGAAACAGAATTGTAAGCTAGAATCTGCTTGCAAAACGAAGTTAATGAGCAAATATCATTTGCCAATAGAATACTGCAGCCAATTTTCTATGAGTTGGTAAGCTCTGAATAATGTCAACAAACCAATTTATCAAGCAACTTACTGAGCATAGTAACATAAAGATCAAGAACATATAGAGAAAGAATTTTCATGTTGAATCACTGGGCTCAACTAGATCCCAGTGAGTATACTGAACTGAGCAACAAAAAGTCTAATGTAGAAATGACTATCGGTAACAGTTGAGGATCACAATTTATATAAGAGCTGCTTGTGAAGCAAAATATAGCTAGGTATTCTTACCTCATTAATGGGGATGTAATGACCAGGTCAACCCTCTCCAGAAGGCCAGAGGCAACTACATGTTTACGCAAATTATCGACCTGAATAACAACACGTATAACTGCTGATTAGGAAACTTCTTATCAAGCAGGAATTTTGAGTCATCCAAACTATATTGAGAAAGCAAATTGAAATATAGATCGGGACCATACTTGTTGCCATCCCAGTGGAGTAAGCTCCGCATCAAAGTACTCAGGGGACAAGTATGCTTTGTAGTTCTTATCTCCCTCCACATTATGTACACCCTGGGCATGCCTGACCTGGATGCACGTTTTGATAAGAACAAAATGGCTTGATTTGCAAGGAAAAGGAAAAAAAAAAAAAAAAAACAAAAAAAGAGGCCCTGGATACCTTTCAGATGAATTATGCAGGTGCCTAATATCACCAATGTAAGAAGTAAATAATTAGAGAGTGAAGATAAAAAACCAACCACATGAATGGTTTTGCACCGATGTGCCGGGAACAAGCCTGGACCAGGAATAATATCCATGTCTGCAATGCAAAAGCTACTGATATTTAATATCCCATGAATACCCCCATGAAACAAGATAGAAAGCAGAAGTGGTTGGAACACCGCAAGCCTAAACAAGAAGGGCGTATTTTCATCCTAACATAACAAGTCTTTGAAAGAGTTGAAAAACATTGAGGAAGTTCACATTGCACTGCTATAACCGAACAGCCATCTGCCGGAGCCTAGATGGTTTAGCAACAAACACAACAATAAGCAATCCGCAGGTCCCCTCAAGGATAAAACCGTTCAAATAAGGATCAAATTGAATTGTTGGCAAGACTGAAGCCTAACTTTACCACAAAGAGCTCAATACCATAACAGCTTTTCAAATATCAACCCATTTTGACAAAGCGCAAATGCCCCTGGATTGCACAAAGAGAGTAAAGTAGTAGAAAGATTGAAACATGGATTCGTGGCCAGTCAAAATTAACTACTTTCCTCTTAAGATTTAAGACATTTACCTTGCATCCTAATCCTATCGATGCGAAAACTCCTGCAGAATAAAAGCAACCGATACGATCATGCCACCAGCAACTTGAGTACTGAATGCAAGCTTGAGACCAGAAGAAAGAAATCCTTGATCTGGCAAGCAACCCACTAAGGACACCCCTAATTTGAGAAAACGATAACACTGACCAGAAACAAAGAGAGCATAAACAACCAACCAACTCGTTTTCTACTACGAAATAAAAGAGAGGAGAAGTTTGGGGGAGGGGATGAAGAGATAAGAGCAGAAGAATTCACACAAGACGGATAACGAGGGAAGTGAAAGTTGCAAAAGGAAGCATGAATCAGGGAGGAGAGGAATAGTGTAGTCACCGGGGAAGAGAAACGTGAAAGCGAGCGGCGGGGCTAAAGGAGCAGCGGAGGGAGAGCCGCCACGAAAGGACCAAAGGGCGCCGCCGGACAGGGGGATGGGGGAAGGGAGATCTTCTTCCTCCACTACATCCAGTGGGAAGTAGCAGGAGTTGAAGAACGGAAGAAAGGGGGCGCAGTGCCAATCAATTAAACTGATAAAAGTGGTGGTGCTGGTGGTCTAGTTTTTTCTTTACGTTTTTTGACTTTTTTCAGAAACAGGATGATGCTGATGTCTGAATAATTGTGCTGATTTCACTAAACTTTGTTACGGTGACTTATAAGCAAGGTTCTAAAAGGCGCTAGGTGTAAGGCATGAGTTCGGCTCCTGATTTGCGACTTGTCCGATTAGGCGTAGCTTAGGCATTCAGAGCATAAATGGAAAAATTCTCAAATATTTTTTGTTTTCTGGAATAATTCATATAATCCAAGTGCATATAAAATTAGCAATGCCTAGTTCTTAATAGTAAACACTTAACATAACAAATAACAAGCAAATAGTGACCAATCATCTGCTAATAGGTGCTTATAGAGGCAAGAAGCATGTGCTACGTACCGAGGAGAAGGAAGGAGCAGCAATTGACGAATTTCGACTTTATTTCTCACTATAGCAGCGGAGCGGTGTGAAGGCGAGAAGAGTGATCGATGACTTTCTCCTGGGGCGGCAGGCGGTAGCAGATGGGGCAAGAGCTAGGGCGGCAGGCGGCAGCAGATGTTACTTCCCGTGTTTCTGATTTTCTAGGGCAAGAGGCAAGTTTCTGATTTTCTAGGACAAAATGAAGAGTATTGGGTTTAACCGCCTAAGCTCGCCCAGGAACGCCCAAACACGCCTTCTCTCCACTAGGCGCAAACTAAGTGCTATTCCTACCTACTAAGCGCTACCAGCGCCTTTTACAAAGCCTATGGCCAAGTTAAGGGGATCCTCCACCGCCTAGCGCCTAATTGAGCCTAGGCGCGCCTTCTTGAACCCTGCTTATAAGTCAAAATGATTCAAAGAAAATAGTTGATCGATTTGTGCAATAATCGATCAGATTGTACATTTACTTTGTTCTTACGGAACATAATAATTACAAAGAAAAATAAAGGTCGACCACTTTAATAAAACTGTTGATTACTATCGTTTCAGTATTTGCAATGGGTGTTTTACAAGAGGGGACAACACAATACATAGAAAATAAGTTGATGTGACCCAAATCTTGTGAAAGACAAGGTTGTCCGAAATGCGGAAGGAACGATCTAAGGTTGAGTCAAAAATAGCATAAAATTCGCACCAAAGAGCTAAGATATCTAGATTAAAAAGCGCCATACTCTAATTATGCTATATAGAGGGCTAAGCTTTTGACACTCCAAGTTTTCGAGAGAGAGACATGATAAGAGAACACTAAAGAGTTGAAAACACTCAATTTGATACGTTGATAATTCTATACTAGTTTTTTGACCCGCGCTTCGCAGCGGTGAGAAACTAATTATATTTAAAAGTTCATCCATTTATTTAATGATTTAGCTGAAATTAAATAATTCACAAAATTATCATAGTAGGGTTGTTCCATAAGTTTTATGTAATGTCTTAATCATTATGAAATACATAGACCATATGTTTGTTTAAGTGATATATAACTTACCTTAAAGAATATTTGAGAGCTTTATATAATATATTTTTAATTACATAATTTTTATAGAATAGTGTTACACAAATATTTTCGTACGGTGTGGTCCAATGGTGAAGTCAACTAAAAACAATATCAAATTAGATTAATTTGTTATGTAAAAAATAACTTACCTAACAAAAATAACAAATTGTGAAGAAATAATGTTGAATTTATGAGCTTTATATAATATATTTGTAATTAAGAATAGTGGTAGATGCAAAAATCTTTTGTACTATGTGATCTAATGATAAAAAGTTTATGATGAAATTAGGAGAAGTTTTAATTACACGACTTTTATAGAATACTGTTACACAAATCTTTCGTACTGTGTTATCCAGTGGTGAAGTCAAATTAAGAATAGTGGTAGATGCAAAAATCTTTTGTACTATGTGATCTAATGATAAAAAGTTTATGATGAAATTAGGAGAAGTTTTAATTACACGACTTTTATAGAATACTGTTACACAAATCTCTCGTACTGTGTTATCCAGTGGTGAAGTCAAATTAAGAATAGTGGTAGATGCAAAAATCTTTTGTACTATGTGATCTAATGATAAAAAGTTTATGATGAAATTAAGAGAAGTTTTAATTACACGACTTTTATAGAATATTGTTACACAAATCTTTCGTACTGTGTTATCCAGTGGTGAAGTCAAATTAAGAATAGTGGTAGATGCAAAAATCTTTTGTACTATGTGATCTAATGATAAAAAGTTTATGATGAAATTAGGAGAAGTTTTAATTACACGACTTTTATAGAATATTGTTACACAAATCTTTCGTACTGTGTTATCCAGTGGTGAAGTCAAATTAAGAATAGTGGTAGATGCAAAAATCTTTTGTACTATGTGATCTAATGATAAAAAGTTTATGATGAAATTAGGAGAAGTTTTAATTACACAACTTTTATAGAATACTGTTATATCCAGTGGTGAAGTCAAGTAAACAGAATTGTCAAATTTGATAAAATTGTTATGTAAAAAAATTACCTTACAAAATTTTGGTATAATGCAAATAATAGAGAAATAATGCTGAATTTGTAAGCTTTATATAATATATTTTTAATTACTTAATTGATATAGAGAAATAATGTTGATATTTGCAAACGGTTTTGTAAAAAAAAACTAACCTTAATGTAATGCAAATAATAAAAAGCTTATAATAAAATTGGATGTAGGAGATAAATACATCTCATGAACAGTACGCGTGGTAAAAGAATATACTAATTGCCTATTAAAATAAAATAATGTTGATATTTGCAAACGGTTTTGTAAAAAAACTAACCTTAAAAACCTTAATGTAATGCAAATAATAAAAAGCTGATGATAAAATTGGATGTAGGAGATAAATACATACTAATTGCCTATTAAAATAAAATAATGTTGATATTTGTAAACGATTTTGTAAAAAAACTAACTTTAAAAACCTTAATGTAATGCAAACAATAAAAAGCTTGTGATAAAATTGGATGTAGGGGATAAATACCTCTTATGAACAGTACATGTCGTAAAGAATATATTATTATCTATTAAAATATAATAATTGCCTATAATTTCGTATGCTACAGTGCCGCATACTTGCAGCTTTAATATACTAATGAATTTTTGTTCTGCATGAGAGTGCTATTTATATTACTCAAGTGACTCGGAAAGGAAGATAGAAAACTAACTCCTACTAGTCTAGATACATAAAAAATAACTTTGGAGTTTTGAATAATCATATTGGTTTATGGAATAACTCTCGCTAAGTGCATGAACTTTCTTTCTTCAAGAATTTCTTTAATGTGTTTAATTTTTCAAAATTTAGGTGGGGTGATGTACCCATTGATGTTGTCCACCTTAGTCTTCATTGTATTCACCTTTGGTTGAAAAAATTCTTCAAAAAGTGGTCATATTTGTTCTCACTAGAAGGTGGACGAATTTGACTCTTCTTTGGGGTTTTTATGCTGGACTTATGGTTGGTATAATGGATCACATTCATATAGTCTTGGTCTCAATTTTGTAGTTGTGTTGGCATCAAAGTGAGCTCGAATGAAACCTAGGAGAGCTTGCAGAAAGTTCCTTGCCATTGATCTTGTTAAGGATCCAATTGTCTACTAGAGCAGATCCATTATTGGTCAACTTTGTTTTAGTTGCGTCCCACTTACTTGAACCTCGCTTCCTTGAGCTCCAAGTTTGGATTTGGTAGTGATATCCTCATTATATGCTATATTATGCATTATGGGAGCATGGACTCCAGTCGCCGCAAAATCGACAATTATGCAGTTCAAATATGTATTAGGCTTTCGGGCTCTCTACCAAGTAATTATCTAGATAAATAACCAAGAGGACACCACAAAATTTTGTTGATATCGATTGAGAGTTTCCGAGGAGGACAAACAGTCTCTTAGGGTTTCGTTTTGAACTGCTAGTCTGCCTCCAATAGCCACAAAATTTTGTTAATATTGATCGAGAGTTTCCGAGGAGGACAAACAGTCTCTTAGGGTTTCGTTTTGAACTGCTAGTCTGCCTCCAATAGCCAACTGTGAGGGTGTGTTCTTTTCTATCTGGTCTGGTGATTCAGGCCTAAATGTACAAATTTTATCCCCGTTTTTCTTTGACGTTTGTGGCAATTGAGCTCCAAAAAGGACGGTTTTATGCTAGGTTTCTTGTTGTTTTAATATGTTTCAGAGTCCAACAGGTGAAACCAACCCCGAAGTCGAAAGTTGGAAGAAAAGGAGCGAAGACCGGGCAAAGAGGAGTTTTGAGCTGCAGTTCACGGTTGCGAGGACAGTGAAGTGGAACCACAAACCGTGAACCGTGAAGCGTCCGGAGGGATTTCAGAGGTTACTGACGTCGAGGCAGTTCATGCTCGCTAAGACCGTGAACTGGGGTATTGGACCGTGAACCCCAGAAGTAAAGCGGTGCGTTTTGATCAGAGTTCACAGACATGGCCTGATGTTCATGGGCGTGAACTGGGGCCGTG